TGTTTGAAACCAGACTCACACTAGCCCTTTTATAGTTTAACGTGCAGTACAGATGTAGGCTGTCCAAACCTTTGCAATGAAAATGTGGCAATAAATAATGTTAAACAATTTTTTAAAAGGTTCTGTCCATTACTCGACTGTATATTTTTAACAATCGTTGTAAAGAAAAGTAAGTGTCTAAAACAGGTTGTGATGTTTTTAGAGACTTTAACTACAAAACAGCAACATTTATGAATAAAATAATCATAATTTATTTTAAAACTCCCTTGTTTATGTTTATTTAACAAATATTCACAGACAACAGACGCAAGTTTTCAAGTGGCTCGCCGGACACTTGTTGTGCGTGGAATTAAAGAATGGATTTTCAGGATTTGCATGCACACCACAGCATATTAATTTATTGCTTTGCACTTTTTGCAATACCAGAGCAGTTGAGCATAACACCTATGTATCTGAATGGAGAGGGTCTAGGGATAAATCATACGTAGCAAGGAGGTTGGGTTCAAGTAATCTGACAGCTTGACTGTGATCCTTTGAATCTTCCTGGTTTTGCAAAAAATATTTTACAAGTCAATGCAAGTCAATCACAAATCAGCAGGGGCGGATCTAGGAATTTTTGCAGGGTTGTTTCATCAGCAAATTAATGCTGAAATGGTGACAGTTTTTTTCTCTGGAAACTTGGCCTCCGTAAAATCAATATGGGGGGAGCCTTGGCCTCCGTAAAATCAAAAGGTTGGGGGAGGGGCGCACCATATGGGGGCGCTGTTCAAATTCCATGATCATTAACACTATATATTACAGAATAGTGTACAAATACCACATTACACAACTGGCTCTGTCAGAATTTTTTGCACAGGCGGATATTATTACCAGTATAATTTTTAGGGGGGGGGGGTCAGAGAAGGGGGGGGTCAAATTATTGTTAATATCTTTCTATGGAAAAAAAATTGTCAGAGCTGGTGGGGTTTCGACCCTCAACCTCCCCCCCCCCCCCCCCCCTTCAGGATCTGGGCCGAGTCAGTTCACAAATCAGGTCACAATGACTAGGGGATGCAAAATAGCAAAGGAATGCCTTTATCACAGTTTGAATAATATTTGAATAGCACTTGACTTGACTCAAGTAAAGGGGCCATTATGACTGACTTGTGATTGAGTCCTTGTCAGTTTCTAGACACTTTCTGTCATTTTTTTGGTGAATTGAAATTCACAGACTCTTAGGGCCAAAGAAAATATTTCTGCTTCTGATTTACATGGCATTCAAAAAAAGGGTACGGTAGATAGGTAGGGATTTTTTTTTTTTTTTTTTGCCAATTTTTTTTGTACAATCTTATGGAGGCGTCTGCGTGTAGTCAAGGCTAAAAGGTAGAAATTGATGGTTTTAGGTGTTTTTGTTCTCATTTTTCCCATAAAAAATGGGGTAGGGGCTGTCAGAATAGGGTAGGTACGGAAACCGGAAGCAGAAATGTTTATTTTTTGGGCCTAAACTAAAAAAGGACGACAAACACACATTTCTCTCTGATCTTATTTGCAAAACAACCAAAGAAATCCCATTCACAGAAAGTAAATTAACTCATATTTTTAAATTACACGTACCGTACAATGTACAATCCTGTTTCAAAATGGAGAGTTCTCACATGAAAGCAATTCAGATGTTTACAACTCTCAATAGAATGTCAAGCAGATGAGTATGCCTAATACTTACGTGTACTTGTCATTATTTTTAAATACACTCTCAAGCAGATGGGTATATCAACTCTCAGCACACTTTCATGCCATAAATCAAACAAATTATTCCACTCACAGTTATAGTCACTTCTTGGATCATTGCAGCAAAATAGCAGCAAAGCTACTTCTAAAGTGCACAATGCAATTACTTTGCAAGCACTCCGAGTCGGATATCAAGCCCGAAATTCACTTAAGACGCATAAGCTCCAATCTGAGCGTACAAATAATTATACCCACATACTGGCTAAGATACCATTTACATGCCACTCCCTTCTACAGTGCACTGCATCAATGAATCTAAGGCTTTACAACAATTGATTTAATCTGACTAACTATGGCTCTGCAGCTACCAGTAACCTAGATGGGTTGGACGGTTGAATGGGCAGCTAAAGACTAGTTATGTGCTGTATCACCTGACTGTCCTGAGTATCAATACTGTAAAGTTTGAGGAACTGGTTAAATAAAAACAAAATTAAAGGATCAGTTTCTGTCCAGAATAATAAAATACACAAGGAAAAATATAGACCCAAAAAACAAATCAAATTACACTTTTAAAGTCCTTTTTGTACAGAATGCCAAGAAATGCAGGGAGTACCATGGTCCAAAAGGACTCTTGACAAAAGAAGGAGACTACTAGGAGAGTGATATGAGATCAAGCTTGTTGATGAAGCTCTTAAAAGAGGGTGGTCCAGGGAAGCACGACTGTGGCAGAGATTATGTGGGAACAATGAAGGATGCTGAGTGGATACTGTGCGAGGTCTAGGAACTGAGACTGTGAAAGGGTACTGTATGTGTCCCAGTATTGTGTTGATGGGCCAGAGGCTGCAGCAAGTAGGTGGGTTAATTGCTGGATGGTAGGTGCATGATTGTGGCAGAGAGATCCACAATTATGTGTTAACAATGAAGGATGGGTGAGTGGGATACAATGTGAGGCCTAGTAATTCAGACTGTTAGAGGGAGAGCATTAGTGGCAGACCTTGCTGAATGTGATATTTAGGCATGACTGATTTCAGATCCTGCAAACAGAGGCCAAAGTATATACCGGTAACGGTAAAAGTCTGGAACGGAAACAGTATGGTTGATGGGCCAGAGGCTGCAGCGAGTGAGTGAGTGGGCGCACCACCCCTGATATGACGACAGTATTCAATTTAGGGACAAATTTAACACTTATAGAAAATCAGAATATGGAAAGAGGTGAAAAATATTGACGAGCATGAAGCAGGAACCCAAACTATTGAATGCTGGCATAGCAAGGTATGCCCAATTGGACTGCAACTGGGGATTGTACTCATGTTTTAGCACATTGACAGGATGTTGGGTCTCGCCTCACACTTCCCCCTGACTTTCCCCGCCCCCTTTTTTTTTTGCACAGGTTCACCAAAAGTTTAAATTAATTCATCAGCCATGGGCGACAGCAATCATGGACACGCTTTCACCAAACGGGTACAAATCTGAAGCGTGCCACTGGCTCACCTGGCTGGGGTGAAAAGTGCACACTTTTCCATGGGCGAACGGAGACACAAACTTTGACGACAAAAAAGGCTTCACCTTTACGCGTCCCTGCACAACTATGGCAGCCAGACAAGCTAGGGACTACCGGACTACCATCCATCATTACTCTCTATTACTAAAGGACAGCCATTCAAAAATCCAGGGCTTTTTTTACAAAGGACCTGCTATTTGCTTATTTGTGACACTAAAAAGACGCATATTTTTCAGACAATGTGGAGAATTGAAAAGCTTTCATCAGGTCGGTGCAGTGGTTCTTTCCTTGCCTTCCACACCTATGGCCCGGGTTCCATTCCTGCTTTGGTCCACATGTGGATTGGGTTTTCAGTCCCAACCTGATTCTGTGGGTTTTCCACAAACTGTAACAGACTTTATTTGTCTTCTGTCTACAGGTTTTTTTTCAGGCTTGCAAGCTACAGTGCCTAGGGTGCTTTTGAAGAATTGTTGGTGTTATTACCAGAAATAAATAATACTAATAAATCTGTATCAATTTATTGAAGTCACAGATCATTATATTCCAGTTGAATCTAAACAAAATTAATCAGCAACGTCAATCAGAAACCAAATTAAATTGGTTCCAAACTTACACCCCTGTTGCACGTGTTCTTAAATTCTAGGTGAGCATGCATTTTTTGTGAGTCCTTATTGACAGAGTGGACAGTGAGTGCAAGCATGCAACCAGCATGTGAACATGGTGCAGATAAGTCTACAATTGTAAAAATTCACAACACTTAAATAATTGATGGAATTTTGCATTTACCTGTACTTCCAGTTAGTTTGTTTTTTAAACCTTAAGTGCACAATTCTTGTGTACAATGGCTTAGTGATGGGAGTAAACATAAGAAATCATCAATAAGAAGTTAATCACTAAGAAATTAACTCCATAACTTTTTTCCCACCGATAATACGATTTAACATAAAAAGACCTGAGTTCTGACTGAACTGCTTTTTAAGCCGGCTTAAGGTCGACCTTGCGACGACACAGATCAGTTGGCGACTGACTTTTCAGGATCAAGCTGCGTCTGAGCTATGACCGTCAGGAACAACTCAGTTGCCGATTTTGTGCGACCTGAGTGTAACTGCGACGATATTAAAATGATCGGCATTGGTTGGCGCTAAAACAAAATCACCAGTCGCAAGAGTAGAAAAATTTCAACTTCTGTGACGTGTTCCGCGACCATCACATGATTTCTCAGTTTTGTGACCTGAGCATTATTTTTCTGCTTGATGCCGATGGTTCCGTCGTGGCGCAAGAAAATCGTGGGTTGACCTGAGGCCGGCTAGGTCTACAACTTAAGCCTTCAGAACTAGGTTTAAGACTTTCACTTCAAACTTTTACCTCAAAAAGGGGTATTGTTCCTCTCAATGCCTTTACTTTTCCCTTCTTAATTAACATCCAATATGAAATATTAAAATCTACATGATGCTAGGAGTGAGAAGATTGTATGCACTTAATAAAATTTGTTATTGCTACCGGGGTAGGATACAGTCCTAACTCTTTCATAACACTAACACTAACAGGGACACAGTCAAGATTTCTTCATACAAATCAGTCTTCTCAGAGCATGCTAAATTGTTTACACATTTGCTCCTTGTCCTTTCAGTAAAAAAGTTATAAACTCTTACCTTAGCTTGAGGCATCTCTTCTATTCTTGGAGATGGGGGGGGGGGGGCTGGGGGGACCACAAATTTCACACCCTGAGCCAACTCTTGCCTCCCACTGTCGCTCCGTTCCTGGACTTCTGACAACTCATCAATTTTTTTTATCCATGCAGCTTTTACCCAATAGTCTACTGCTTGACAGTGGCACTTTCCTATTGGTCGAGAGTGAGACGAAAGATCAGAATCACTCAACCAATGACACCAATCCATTCCGTCTGGCTCGCAGATGACTTAGGCGCCCTTATACAATTGCCAAAAAGTTTGACCCAAACAAATAGGCCTACAATCCTGAACTGACATCTGGAGTGTCACCTGCACTTTGATAACTAGAGCTCGCCTCTATGCATGCAAAAGTTCAGGGCCGTCAATGAACAGACTGCTAAATCCCTCTGGCAAGGCCCAGAGTTCTTGTGGATAAAAATAAAATCTTTAGAGCCAACTGGTTCAGGGGTAATGGGAAAATTAAGAGGTAGAGTTGATATTAAGGACACATTTTTTTATACACTGGATGGGATTGGGTTGAATATTTGTGACTGTAACATATTTATGTCGGGGGATGTACTTTCACACACTAAATAGTCTGAGAGACCAGTGAGGTTTAATTAGAATATCGCAGACAAAAAGTTTGATGGTGGCAGCGAGTTGATGGGGGTGTCACACCCCGTGCGTTTGGGAGGGGGCACTGCCTAAAGACCCCCCAAAATTGACTTTTAATTAGAATGCCGTGCACAAGCACGGTTCCAACGCGAAAAGATAGTATTTGATTAACTTATCAATGATCAATAACTTAAGAATGAGAAATCCTGTGCATTCCATGCTTAACTGAGAATGGCCTAATTAAAGCTAATTACTCAACTTTAATTAGAATTTTGAACACAAGAGCGAAATCTTCACTAAAAGCTTATTAAGGTGACCAAAATGCAAGATCTGCAACTTAAGAATGGATATTCCCGTGCATTTTGTGCTTAAGAACGAGTTAAAGTTCAAAAATTAGCCGCCCGCTAAGGAATTATTTTTTTATGTGTTTAATTAGAATGTTGAGCACTACAATCATTCCAACGCCAAACGATAGTGTATGAGTCAGCGTTTGCAGAATTTTAACTTAAGAATAAAAAATCTCGGTCTTTAGGCGGTGCCCCCTCCCAAACGCACGAGATGTGACACTTAAGAATGACGGTTTTGAAGGTTGGACACCCCCACCAATCCAGGTGACCAATCAAAGTGCCCTGGGATTGGTCTGTCTGATGCTTGCCAGGAAACGGTGTAGCCAGATAGGCGTTTGTGGCAAAGATGTTTCCTGAATTGAAGGTGAAATTTCTCTTTTCTTCCCAAAGGTATGTAAACCTAACCAACACCATTTATATTTTCACTTCCCACTGAAGCCTACAGGGGCGCATAAGGCAGTTTGAAGACCGTTTTGGGGGTGAAATCTGACGATTTCATTGTGGGTACAAGTGAAAATGATCAATAAAAAATTATTAGTAACCGCAATAGGGCCATCGATCTCGGACTCTACTATCGCCCGACCATGTCCAAATGTTAAAAAAGCAATCCGTAGAGTCCTAGTTAGCTAGGCCTACTCGGACTAATAAAGAGGGTGAGTATGCTTCTAAAGCAAAAATAAACTACAAACTAAGCCTAAATGTGAAAATCAAAATTTGACAAAATTCGACATGTTTTTGTACATGGTGGAAGTGTGGCCTTTATTTACGGAGGTAGTCCAGTAAATTGGCCACATTATATGGGGCTAGCCCTAGCCCAGGTGGACTCCGGCCCTTTCCTCCCAACGTTACGGAGGGAGTCCAGGGTATGAAGTGCACAAAACCGGGCGAAAAAAATATGACCAATATTTTCAATATTTTTACCTTGTTGGAGAAGCTAATTTTTACGTCTTAGTATTCTATGTGTCCTTATCTATTGATCCGGGGGGGTTCAGGAATTCCATATGTGATGCTGACCGATGTTAATCAGGAAAATAAGCTCTAAAGCAACGTTAAACTGGTACGTTTTTGTAGACTCTTTTCATCAGTTTCTCACACGTACCGACAATGACCGAGTCTAGATCGTACATGGCATACGGCCGTGCAACGTGAACGCGCAGTGCGCACGCGCGATTTGCTTAGTAACCGCCCTCATACGCATGCGCATATTCTTGTAGGCGCGGTCGCCTATCCAATGATCAAGCGTGTTTTCGCGACAGTTACCAGAAAACATGTTTCGGCTTTGGTCATTGGTTGAGCGTTTTCGTGACTTCGGTTGGCTGGAGTGACGTCACTGTTCCAACCAAAATTAAACAAAGGAGGGCACTAGCGTGTGCGCTTTCGTACACACGTACATGACGTACGACTCGGTAAATAAACTGATGAAAAGAGACTACAAAAACGTACAAGTTTAACGTTGCTTTAGAGTTTATTTTTCTGATTAACGTCGGTCAGCATCACATATGGAATTTCTTAATCCCCCGGATCAATAGATAAGGACACATAGAGTATTGTAGGCCTAGTCTTTGTTAGTTTGTAGAGTATGAAAAAAGCTTCTATAACGAGGTAAAACGTAACAAAAATCTGGTCAAAATTTAGGGTGGTATTACGTAGAGAATTCTCATCCTGGACGTCAGTCATAATGCAATGAAGACTTCGTCCAATCTGGCTAGGGCTAGCCCCATCAGTTGCCATGGCTACTGCTGCGCCGCCCCGTTTTGTGCCCAATTTTCGGACGCCACCTTTTTTAACTTTCCCATTTCGGAGTACATTTCATGATACTAAATTTGTCACATGATTACCACAACAGGACTTGCAAATGAACCCCAAAAGTGTTACGTTAGGTACGTTGCCTACCTTATCTGAATTCGGAAAGGCCGTGAAATGAATGAAAGCAAGGACAAAACCGCACCTGCCGTGCCAGTCACATGCCACTCGCGCCATTCATTCTGGATAATGTTAAATCAACGAGCAGTTGGGATCAAAAAGAAAATTGTGTAACAACTAGTGACATGAGCGACGCATAAACTACAAGTTAGCTTCCGCAAAAGTTCGTATATTTGTTAGGGAATGATTGCTCCAATAATCGTTGAAAATGATTGTCACAGTGACTTGTTCACAGAAAATGGAAAAACATCCTTTCCCATTTTTTTGTGCGTTGGCAACTTTCTAAATAGCATTTTGGGGATGCTTCCGTGCACAAATACTGATATTGGAATTAGGGCCGACTGTACTGATATTGCGTCGCTCAAGTCACTTTTCTGATTATGAGGATTTGGGCAAAACTTTGAAACTCCAAAGTTAGGCCGAATAAAAATTTTTAAAAAGTTTCTCGTCCGGGTTTTTGAAAAAAAGGAGGAAAAAGGGCTTTTTTTTTTTAAGATGGCCGCCATTTTAAAATTTCCTGCAACCGTTGGTGTTTCCACTGCACTGTTCAAGGACACTTTTAAAATGAAAGACAAGTTGGACAAGAGAACTGAAAATATTTACAGTGTCATTTAGAGTTGTATTGGTCTACAATGAATAGTTTAAGATATATGTGACTTTTTTGGTGTTTTTTTACTGCATTTTTCAAAAATAAAAAATAATAAAAAAATCCAGGCGGCCTCCAAAAAGGAAGCGGGCGGGGACGAGAAACATGTTTATCTTTTACTTCGCCTTATAGGCTAACATAAAATAACTTAACGGTAAATGGTCTGCACCGATTGAGGTGTGTCTTTAATTCCTGTTAGTGTTATTGAATTGAATGGGCTAGAAATTGATTTATATCATGTACTTGGTGGTGTTGTTCACAACGTGCAGTACGTGTTTTCGCGATCATTCGTCCACGCCTTCCAGAAAATATTCATTTTCTTTCAAATTTGTTAATATTAATATGAAATGGGATACTGCATGTTATCTCGTTAAGATCGTAACAGTTTAATTAAAATAAAATCGTGTTTTTCGTCACTCAGGCTATGCTCGCGCTACGACGAATTGATTTAGTTTTTACAAACGCAAATGTAAAGCACAGGCACCAGACTATTGCTCATTTGCATACGTGTTCAAAAATCTTGCACATGCAAATTATCCAATACCAGGGTGAGAGAGCAGGTAGTGGTGGGCGCGTACTGCTCGACACCCTGGGGATGAGGTTGGAAATAAAGTAAGCACTGGGGACGAGATGACTAAAATGCATCAACAAGCGTCAACTGGCGTCAACAAACTTCAATGGTCGTCAACCAAGCGTCAACAAATTTTGTAGAAGTTTTGGAAAATCAAAAACAGCTTTATATGGTAGAAATGGCAACAAAGAACACCTTCAGCAAATAAATTAAAAGTAAAAACTATTTCAAAAGTTAGGGGTTTTTTTCAACGCGAAACGTACGACGGACTCTGTCGAATTTGTGTTGGCCACCATTTTGTTTATGTGAAGCTAGCGGTACTACGCATGGCGGCCAACACTAATCAACAAACTCGTCGTACATTTCGCGTTCAAAAAACAAGTTTTTAAATTTTTTTAACTTTAATTCATTTGCAGAAGATGTACTTTATTGCTTTTTCTACCATATAAAGCTACTTTCAATGTTCAAAAGCATATACAAAATGTGTTGATGCTTGTTGACGACAATTAACACTTGTTGACGCTTGTTGACGCATTTTAGTAGGACCCCCCTCAAGTGTTCAATATGTGCCATATAAATATGTTTGAGCCCTCTATCGCCAAAATTACGCCTTTCGCTAAAAAAAAAAAAAAAGCTGTTGCCCACTCTTTCCAAAAAACAAACCACCCAAACTAAAAACAAAACAAATTCATGCGAATGCCTTGAAAATATGAGGCTACCCCGGCCATATTCTTTTGTTCTTTCAACCAGTCACTTTATCTAAAAAAAAAATATATATATATTTTTAAATAATCATTTAGACATTTGATGTCACAAATTTGTCACATCATCAACTTTTTCAAACTTTTCAATCATTTTTTTCCCCCAAAAAGAACACATCCACTGATTAATCAATGTAAGCCTTCTTTCTTTGAAATTCATATTTCCTCTTTAATAAATCAGTACATGTCGACATTCTGATAAACCGAGTCAGCCATCAAAGGTCCTTTTTACCATCTTCGGCCCGAATATGGAACTCTCTTCTGCCCACATACCCACTAACAGGAATCTGGCCAGCTTCAAGAGGGAAGTGAATCGCTATCTGGGCGACAAGCCATCAGCAGTCTCTATTAATAATGTTTCTAGCTGTTAAGGCCAAGATATGCCTTGTGTAAAAAAAAAAAACCAAACAAACAAACAAACACTGGGGAAAAGGATGCTCATAGCTAGGTTTTTGTTGTGTCTTTTTTAATTGTTTGGGGAAAGTTTAGACCTGTTGTGGTGACTTAAACATATTTTTATTGTAAGCACCTCACATATTTTGTACATATCTGAGTCAACAAATAAGTCAATATTTGCATGTACAGCATTTGCATTACTTCATGTCATTATGAATCGGTAACTCAATGTCATATCTTTATTTTGAGGTCTTTTAAGCATCAAGTTGGAAATACAAATATCATGTACATGGATGGAAATAAGCACATGGCGACACGCAGTAGATAATTCATAGATTTTTTTTTGGTTCCAGTCTACCAAACCCATGTAATGCAGATCATGTGATATGTTCTGATCCAATCACCAGACAGAATTTATTTCATGCTTACGCAAAAATTCAACAGCCATCACAAAATTATAACACTGTCCATAAATAAAAGGAAGACAGTAAAAACCCCAAAGGAAGCGTAGTTCAGGTAAACACTGCCCTCTTCCTTAATAAAAAGGCAAAATAGGGTGTACATACAAGCAAAGACAGGGAAATTAATGCGCTTATTAAAAAGGGGGTAAAAGGCCTTAAAATTGTGTAAAATAAATGGCCATTTTAAGATTTCAAACATGATTGATTCTCATGTTTATCCCTTTGGCTCAAAGTTTTGGCTGTCCTGTTCTAAATGAGGGTTCGACCTTAACTTTTTTGTTCATTAGCCAGCCAGGCTACTAGTCCGCGGGCATTTTCACGAGCCCGCATGTTTTTCAGCTCAAATGCAAAATGGGGTATTTTCAGGCTCAATTCTGAGGATCTAATAATTTAACCTTTTAAAACAGTTGAAAAAACTGGACACAACCTGATGAGGTTTTCTTTCTGAATTTAATGATTTATTTCTTCCTGTCCGTTCATCTTTGCTGTATCCCAATAATATTTTGACTCGCCAGCCGGGCTACTTAGGGAATAGTTTGACTAGCCCGCCGCTGTTTTGACTAGCATTTGGCTAGCGGGCTACCGCTAATTTCGAACCGTGTTATAAAGGATTCTTCTGCCTTTTGCAGGATATAACGAGGACGTCTCTGTCGGTGTCTTTCTCGAAGGGAATCCAGTTTGATGACTCTTTGCCAGGATCTACCTCTCCGGACGCTGCAGTGAGAATACCCTACATGACGTGTCTCCAGATGCAGTTACTATGGTGTTTCCGTCACTGTAGAAAAAAAAAAAAAAAAAAAATAGTGAGTCTGTCACGAGTGAAAAAGGGCTCATTAGGCTGGCGTTTATTTCCCGTTTATAATTTCTCTATTCTCACTGGATGGGATGCCAGTACCCACTTATACTCCTGGGTGGAGACAGGCAAGTGGGAGTGAAGTGGCTTGCCCTAGGACACAACATATGGCCAGCAGCTGGATTCGAACCCCTGACCCACTGATCATGAGTCACAAACCCTAACCACTGGGCAAAACACCCCCACACCAAAACCTACACGATTAATAATAAGATTATTATTAGTGAAATTAGATTTCTGTCTTTTTTGGAATGAAATTGTAATTGTGTTACAGGTGTAACGCTAAACCAGTTTAGCCATAATTTGGACACAAATGATTTAATCTCCCATGCACCATCTTGAAACCTATCAATGGGTTGTTCCATATTTGGACATATTTGTGTACTTTGTGGCCAATTTTTTTTTTTTTGGGGGGGGGAGATGCTTTATTGGCCACTTTTGAGGGCCACTTCTTAAGGGCCTTTCACACACATTTAACTGCTTGTTATCAACTTCACTCATATCCCCCGCCCTGCAAACAGGACGCTGGGATACTCTGATGAATTAAGGCTCTGATTGGTTGGATTTCGCGTGACCTGTGATCCTTCGTGTCATCACAGTCGTGACTCTGCAAGGTTTGAAACGGCCGTTAAGACTGATTCATTACTCTTTTATTCCAGTTCAGAGATGTTTTATTTTTGTCGAAAAGCGTAATAATGTAGGAAATTCTGTAAAACATATCTGTGCTGTAAATTTACAATTCCCGTCACTTGCCCAGGCTCCATTTCGAATCACAAACGGTCGGATTGCATTATGCGATGCTCAAAATTGTGTCCACATAGTCCGCAATGAAACAGAAATCACATCCGGTATGGAATGTGCGCATTTCTATGGGAGGTTTTCGGATAGCATTTGCACACATTGTCTAACTGCGGTCTTAAACAGCTATAGCCAGATGCTTTATACATAGGTCATAGGCCACTTCCTTCACAAGATTCTGTGAAGCTCATCAGAGTATCCCAGTGCCCTGTTTGCAGGGCGGGGGGTACGAGTGAAATTATCAACCATCTGACGTTATTAATGGCTGATCTGACTTACTTGCTGATAGCCATATCCAGAATCTCCCCTCTGTGGCCAGTCCACGACGCCACCGATTCTCCTGACCTTGCATCCCACAGACAGACCCTGCCGTCTAGCCCCGCTGTGAAGATCGTAGGGGTACCCGAGGGGTCCCACCTCAGCCGCACTATGCCAGCCTGGAAGGACGGGGTGACACAGACATAATATGAGACTGGGGTTTAGACGGCAGAACAATAATACCTCAGCGTAGAATGGTAGTGGAGTGCTTCTATGTTATCCAGGTTTTTAACTACAAGTTGACCACCAGTCATTTAATCTCAAGTCAAGGGACGACCCATTCAAATGAACTGTGACAAAACTAATCCTGTCTTGTTCTTAATCCCCTGTTTACTTGTGGACCTGACTTGTGATTTGACTGAAACTCTGTCTACTCTTGAAGGCTTCATAGATATGGTGGGATGTGCTATTAGTTTTGCAAAAGGCCAAGGCCTATTACTACACTGATCGAGTTCAACGGCTGAAGAGAACCAATCCTGGTGATGGGTTTGAACAAATTCGCGTCATGTCGGGGAAAGACACATCTACAAACATAAGCGTCCCCGGAATCGACTCCTCTGACCACGAAGGAATTGCCAACTACTTTGTGTCCACTGCTGCCGACATGGAACCATTTGAGCACTTACTTTTCTTATCATGTAGTAGCCGCATCATTGTAATTTGTTTACCTTGCTTGTTAAACATAATTGCTCACCATAAACAAAAAATTGAATAAAATGGAGAGGTAAAGGACAGACAGAGAAAGATTAGAATGACAATAATTCTTTATTGTTTAAAATTCTTTTCACCTCTAACTGGCAGCAATGTCTCCGTTTCTGTGTAGGTATGTCCCAAACTCCTAATATGCCATTCAGTGATCCAACGGCAGCCAGGGATTGACTAGAATCAAAACGAGAAATAAAAATGCACTAACTTTATCACAATCATAAAATGCCGCTTGCAAATGGATGGAAACTGACTAATGATTTACTTCAGCTCAATTTGCAGTTCTGGTCTGAAATGTAAAACTTGGAAACTGCCAATAGAAAAATCTTTGACTAGTGCAGGAATTTTAATAGTATGCCTTAATTTTTACTTTTTTTAAATCAAGGTCATCTGGGTTAACATTTGCCACAAAATTCAGGTTTTCTTGTAAGAAGGAAATGCAGACAACATAAATTCAAAAGGATAACAAAGTTAACAGATTGTAATGTATGCAACAGGGTAAAACTTTGACCTACTGACCTTTGACACAATCCAACAGCCTCCACTGAGTTGCTGTCACCAATCTCTGGTTTTACATTTCCGGCTGAGAAAGTGGCTAAAACCTGGGTGTGAATGACACAAAATCAAAAACATGACCTCAAAGTTTGTTAAAAATCATTATGATGAACAAAAGCAGAAAGAGGAATGTCTGACACAGTTTTTAAAAAATAAGGGGAAAAATTGCACCAAAATATTCAATTCAACTGACCTTAGCATTGTTGCTGTTCAAGACTTTTGCCGTTCCATCAACAGAACCAGTGAGAACCACAATATTGTTGCTATGGCAATCAAGGGATGTCACACCACTACTGTGCCCAGTGTTACCTAAATAGGGCAACAAAAAATATAGAATTCAGTCAGTAAACATTTGAGAACTTTACATGGGCTATAATTTTGAAGTACTGCATGACTTTTTTCAAGACCCTGATCAAAGACATTAATTTCTGGTAAGGCATCCCAAGGCAATGTGTCCCATGAGCTGGACACATAATGGAAGCTACACGCAGTCTTGCATGCTTCCTTGACATTTCATTGTGCATGTGCACCGGTGCATCAAAGTTCAACCCTTCTGTGTCCAGAAAAAGGCTAGTTGCAACTTTATTTGGTTTTGCTCAATCCAACTCTATCTCACTCCCTGAGAGAAATAGAACTAGGCTTGCCTAGTGAGCTGGACCTAGGGCTTTCCATAACCCAGAGACTCAGTCGGTCAGTTGGTGACTCAGTCAGTCATAGTACAATGTGCTGGCCATATGTTGTGTCATATGTTGTGTCCTCTGGCAAGCCGCTTCACCCTCACTTGCCTCTCTCCACCCAGGAGTACAAATGAGTACCAGCACTGGCTGGGGAGTAACCTGTGATGGACTAGCATCCCATCCAGGGGGAGTAGAAATATTCTCAGTCGTTTCATGCTACTGAAACCGGAGATAAACGACGGCCTGATGGGCCACATTGGCTCGGGACAGACTTTACTACTACTACTACTATATGCTGGCCATTTTGGTCCAGCAAAAAAAAGGAGAAAAATGCATCTCTCAATTCCAATGTTGTAAGATACCACAACAGAAGGTTATTAGTAAAACAGATGACAAGGGAACTTAACCTTTGAATGTGTGAAGTGCCGTTGTCTCCTTCAAATCCCATATTTTCACCGTTCCATCTTCATATCCGGCACAGCATCTCTTGCCTGTGCAATCAGAGAAAACAAATATTTCAGGAAGAGAAACCAAAATTCACCTCTTTATTGGATGCAAGGACTTTTCAAATTCAGTTCTGCGAACGGTGCGAATGCATCACCCGAACACATTGTGACTGCCTGTGTACTGGCAAAATTTGCTTGCATAAATATAGGTTTTTTTTGCTATTATGCTTTAAAGGGAACGTGTTATTTTGTAGCAGTAATAGGGAGAAATTTCAACATTTTAGTTTTTATGCTAATGAAAATGTCCATATTCATGAGCCAAAGCGTGATGTCATTCAAGGCAGAACAGTAGTGTCTCCATAGCGTTGAGCACAAATGTACATCAGACTTTTCTTCATTTTCGTGGAGTGAGTTCCACTTTTTACTCGTTTATCATGTTAAACTGCTTGTTTGGACAATAGTAGTGGCCAATATTTCTTCAAAAAATTTGGGGGGGGGTAATTTTGAAGGACAATTTTTTGCACTGTTCATATGCACTTTTGACAAGGAGTACCTTGTGTGACCAAAGCAAAATAGCGCCCTCTTACATGTATTGATGAAAGGAATTGCTAATAATTGAAAAACTACCACTTTCTTGTCACTTCCAATGAAAACAAGTATTAAGGTCTTGTATGTATTGTTGCAACACATAGTAATGTGCATGAAAACAAGATAAGCTGAATTTCCACTGCATGTTTCCTTTAATTCTTTATGTAAAAAGTTGCTTTGTAATCTTACAAAAAAAAGCAAATGTGATGAATTTCAGTCGCAGCCACAGGTAATCTTCACCTGACAAAAATTACAAATCAACTTTTACTTAAAGTTTAACTGCCAAATCTTCCTAATAAAAGATTAAAGATAAAAAATAATAACTAATAGTAGATCTTAATTATATGACTGAATTTTTTTACATTTAAAAAAAAAAGGCATATGTATGCTTCCCCGAAATAGTTTCAAATAGACAGTAATCTCACTGCGTCAGATTTTCAAAAAGTGGGACTGAAGAAAGATTAGTATGAAAAGTTCAAAACACACACCATCTGCAAATATCTTGCCGCATGTCGTTTGGCAGCCGTGCCCTTGCAAGGTCTTACAATCCCCGCTAGGTACCTTCCACATCCAAATCTGACCCTCCGACGTCCCCCCGAAGAGAACATGTGAGCTGTGGTGCCACGTCAGCCACTGTGAAGGACAGAAAACAGTAATATTAAATATTGAACAATATTATAATTCATATATAATATTGCTATCTATAAGATGGAATTTGTGTCGGGGTGATGTAAATTTAATATTAAAGGTTTTGCCCTTCACCGACGTATAAACACTGTATACTCGGTGTGTTACCTCCCGAGTGAAAGTTGGAAAAAATCACTCGGGTGGGACTCGAACCCACGACCTCCTGCTTTCTAGTGTGGATGTCTTACCACTCGACCACTGAGCTTGCGGGATCGGTTGGCTGGCGCGAATCGGATGTGAAGCAGTGGTTACATCACCCCGACTCAAATGCCACCTTATGAAGTTTCATTGCGGACCCACTGCTATATCTGATTCGAACCAGCCAACTGATCCCGTAAGCTCAGTGGTCGAGTGGTTAGCCGTCTGCACTAGAAAGCAGGAGGTCATGGATTCGAGTCCCACCCGAGTGATTTTTTCCAACTTTCACTCGGGAGGTAACAAAAATAGATTATATTGCTTTTAATATATAGCGCTTTCCATCGTATCTACAATCTCAAAGCGCTTTACGATTATTACCCCGTTCATCAGGCCACGAGACCCTGCGGCAGCCGATATCATCGCACATTCGGTCCTCTACCCGATCACAGGTACCCATTCATACTCCTGGGTGGAGAGAGGCAATTGAAGTTAAGTGTCTTGCCCAAGGGCACAAACACCATGTTCCTGGCAGGGTTCAAACCCACGCAAAATTCAATCAAAACTTAACGTTGCTTCAGTCTTAACAATAACCCGAGCCGTAATTGGGGTACACAGTGACCTTTGACCCTTCAATGACCTTGTGACCTTTACCTCCAAGTCCGAGCACTCAAATGACCAGATTTCTTCCTGTGTGTCCACCTTCCAGACTTTAATCAGGCCGCTCATGTCACCCGACACCACGAGGGAACCGTCGTGACTGAAGCCGACACATGCAACCGAGTCTTTGTGACCTAGGATGGCAACAAGTCAGAAAGTCAGAAATAGTCAATTTGATTCATAACTTTTCTTCGGGATCATTGAATTTGTCAATCAACAATTGCATTTAATAATCGTAATAATAATGAGGTGCTTACATAATGCTTTAAACGAAAATCTCACAGCCCATCACAATTATTACCCAATATTAAAAGATTTTCATCAGGCCATTAGACCATTTTTGTTTTGCAGCAGCTCGAAATCAGCACAAGCTGGTTTCTTTTCTCACAGGTCCCAATTTATACTCTGAGTGGAGAGAGGCGATTGTAGTAATGTGTCTTGCCCAAGAACACTAGCACCATGTTCCCCATCAGGGTTCAAACCCACGTAACATTTCATTTACATGAAACAAAATTTACTCTGCAGTTAAGGTCAGTATCTCGGACTAATACAATTATTTTTAAGAAATTCTTAAACATTGTGGCACTAGAGTATTATCAGTTTATTTCTGCCCAACTGTGCTGAACACAGGAAACAGTACAACTCTGGTATGAGGTTATTCATCAAACACGAATGACCTCCATACCCTTGAACTTTGACATTTGACCTTTACCTGAGCACTCCAGCACTGGTTGCCCATCCCCGATTTTCCAGACGTACGCTTTATCGTCCTCGCTCCCCGTAACGGCGAGGGCGCCCTTGGTGGGTTCCAAATCGCAGCAGAATACAGAGGCTGCGTGAACAAAGTTAATATTGAATGAAAATGGTGAGGAATATGTTCTGTTCGAGGCCACAACCAGCACAAACACTTTATTCTATTAGTCCCAATATCGCCCCAAACTACCCTGCCTGTTACTCCCTGTACCGCCCCAAACTACCCTGCCTGTTTCTCCCTATATCGCCCCAAACTACCCTGCCTGTTTCTCCCTATATCGCCCCAAACTGCCCTGCCTGTTACTCCCTGTACCACCCAAACTACCCTGCCTGTTACTCCCTGTACTGCCCCAAACTGACCTGCCTGTCACTCCTTGTACTGCCCCAAACTACCCTGCCTGCTACTCCCTGTACCGCCCCAAACTACCCTGCCTGTTTCTCCCTATATCGCCCCAAACTGCCCTGCCTGTTACTCCCTGTACCACCTACAACCACCCCGACTGTTACTCGCTGTACTGCCCCGAACTGTCCTGCCTGTTTCTCCCTATACCACCCCAAACTACCCTGCCTGCTACTCCCTGTACCGTCCCAAACTACCCAGCCTGTTACTCCCTGTACCCTCCCAAACTACCCTGCTTGTTACTCCCTATACCACCCCAAACCACCCTGCCTGTTACTTCCTGTACCGTCCCAAACTACCCTGCTTGTTACTCCCTTACAGCCCCAAACTGCCCGAAATTGCTTGGTACTAAAATATCTACTTAGCAAAAATGGGTTACCAGCCATAGTCATGCATATTATACCTATATTACTTTTGACCAGTTCGCGACTGATCTTTAATAAGCACTTATATTGGCTGAACAACATATTCTGTTAGCAGCTCTGGGAAGTTGGACCCTGAATTCTGTACAACTGCCACTCTATACGGATCAAACTTCTCAGCTCACCTGTGTGTTTGTCGTAGACAAAGTCAGCGTCGTCCTCCAACTCATCCTCCGCTGGAGCATCCATCCCCTCAGCCTCGTCTTCATTTTCATCATCCCCTTCCTCATCTCCGTCTCCGTCAAAGCCTTCTGAATCCATATCACCCATGTCATCAATCACATACTCTGTAAAATAATTAATGAATAAAGAAATAAATGGCTACCTTCAAATTTATTTTCTCAATCCTCAACAAATGCCTGAAACTAATTCATAGGCAAGTTCCTCCGTGAGAAGTTTTCACAAAAGTGAGATTCAAAGAGCTCAGGAGATAGAATCAGCCAAATACCCAGCAACCATGAGCTGTGCTGGGTTGGAGATACACCCAGGGTTCGAAATTTGCGGAAGCCCGCTAGCTAAATGCTAGTCAAAACAGCAGCGGGCTAGTAAAACTATTCGTTAACTAGCCCGGCTGGCGAGTGAAAAATTATTGGGATACGGCAAAGATGAACATGCAGGAAGAAATAAATCATTACATTCAGAAGGAAAACCCCATCAATTGTTGTCTAATTTGATCAACTGTTTCAAAGGGTTCAATTATTAGATCTGTTAATCAAAAAACACTGTCAAAATTGCCTCAGAATTGAGCCTGAAAATATGCCATTTTGTATTTGAGATAAGAAAAAAATGCGGGCTAGTGAAAATGCCCGCGGGCTAGTTAAGAGTCCGTTTCAGTAGCCCGGCTGGCTAGTGAACAAAAAAGTTGAGGTCGAACCCTAGATACACCACGATGCACCTTAGTCTTACCTCCATCTGCCTCGTTCAAATCAACCACCTCGGCCATATCCTCAGCAGCCGCATCCTCAAAGCCACCATCGGAATCCCCATCTGGATCCATGTTGCTATTTATAGTACACTACTGCTGATGACAGTGGTGACCTCTGACCTTTTGAGAAACCTGCAGGTCAAATGGTTCATAACAGAAATTCCATAAAACAATTATTACATGAGCCAAACTGAATACCTTTCAAACAAATGCACGCAAGGATACAATTATTTTCACAGATGGTGGGCCGAATATAATTTTGGACACAATATCTGTAGTTCCAAAACATATCAACATATAACTTCTGCACCCTAAAGCAATCTTCCTTTGTCCATTTTCAACAGTATTTTGACAGAAAATATGACTTTTTCACCAATTTTTCCAGTTGATACCATCGAATCAATGCAGATTTGTCAACGCATCGCGCCTTACGGCCTGAGTTAGATGACATCGTTTTACCCCATAATTTCCCTCCTGCCTAAATCAACATAGCCCCATAAATGTGGCCAATTTACTTGACTACCGCCGTAAATAAAGGCCACACTTGGACCATGTACCCGAAAATGTAGAATTTTGTCAAGTTTTCATTTTCAAATTTAGACTTTCTTTGTAGTTTATTTACGCTTTAGAAGCACACTCACTCTCTTTAAAGGGATAGAAAATTAGTCCCCCCTTTTTCAGACATCTATATTTTGTGTAATTTCCAGGTTCGTTTGCACCCATTAGCGTATCTAAATTCCAACACAAAATTACACAAAATATAGACGTCTGAAAAAGGGGGGACTAATTTTCTATCGCTTTAAAGAGGGTGAGTGTGCTTCTAAAGCGTAAATAAACTATACAGGCAGACAGGGGGCCTAAAGTCTAAATGTGAAAATGAAAACTTGAAAAAGTTCTACATTTTTGGGTACATGGTCCAAGTGTGGCCTTTATTTACGAAAGTATTCGGAAAAAATTCCATACTCGGACGTCACTTTTTTCAATTATTTTTCTAGCGCCAAAAGTTACATCTTTTATGGTTATTCCTCCACTTTCCCTCCTCTACTCTCACCCTCTCCTTTCCTTAATTTCTACTTTTTAATCAGTCAGTTACTTCATCGGGATTCGAACCTCTGACGCTTGCTTGATACACGAGACTCTTAACCGCTAGGCCGCGCACGATCGCTGTTGCAATAATCAATCTTTGGACGTATTTGAAGTATCCATTGAAATAAACTAAATATTCATGAGAAAATAAATATTCATAATGACGTATTGCACTATCATTGGCAGGCTCATGCGACGTCATGGTTGTTGATGTCACGTGTATAACGTACCGCTGTCTTTCAGCCACTACAATCAGTTTTGACCGGCTGCTTCAAGTTAGTTCTGCACGACGTATGCATCCAAAATGTGCTCTAAAAACACATTTTGAGTAAATTTTTTTCACCTTAACACAGCTTCCTGGATTTCTCTTGGTTCAAATGACAAGGTGAGGTGACAATTAATATGTTTGGCAGCAGATAAATTGACATCCGAGTATGGAACTTTTCCCAAGTATTCCAGTAAATTGGCGGCGATAGTGTAGTGTAGGGCCCGGTTCCTAGTATAAGGGAACAAAATCCACTTTAAAATTATTAGACCGAACAAAAGACAACATACTCAATAAACAGGTATGTCATACTATAGATAGAGTGCAGGGTTTTTATTTTGGGGGGAAATTTTGGGGTAAAATGATGATGACAGCACGGTGACAACACGCAACCCGAAAATAAAGATGGCGATCATCGCGCCAAGTACCGTGTCGTGAGCATGCATGGCGCGCTGAATCGCAAGGCACAAACCGCGCAGGAAAATCGGGATTTTAAAGCATTTTTGACTCTAATTTGATCAAGACAAAACAGGAGCCCTACACTACGCCATCGCCAAATTGGCCACATTTATGGTGCTACAGTCAACACTATGCCATGTATGCCCTCTTTCCACACTCCCGTTGGGGTCCTACTAAAGCGCGTCAACAAGCGTCAACAAGCGTCAACAAGCGTCAACAAATTTTAGTAGTCGTTAAGTGCGCGTCAACAAATTTTGTATAGGCCTTTGAACAATAAAAACAGCTTTATATGGTAGAAAAAGCAATACTGAACATCTTCTGCATATCAATTAAAGTTAAAATTATTTTAAAACTTGGTTTTTTGAACGCGAAATGTACGACGAATTTGTCGATAAAAGTAGGCCGCCATCTTGTTTGGATGGCGCTGTAGACTTCGCGCATGCGTAGTATTGCTCTTTACACTTCACGCATGCGTAGTACGGCTAGCTACACATAAACAAGATGGCGGCCAACTTTTATCGACAAATTCGTCGTACATTTCGCGTTCAAAAAACCAAGTTTTAAATTTTTTTAACTTTAATTGATATGCAGAAGATGTTCATTATTGCTTGTTCTACCATATAAAGCTGTTTTTATTGTTCAAAGGCCTATACAAAATTTGTTGACGCGCACTTAACGACTACTAAAACTTGTTGACGCTTGTTGACGCTTGTTGACGCTTGTTGACGCGCTTTAGTAGGACCGGATATGCTTTTCATCTTTGCCAGCTATTTTGGTTAGTCCATTGCTTGCACTGCACGCGCTTAAAGGGAATATACAACATTTGCAAACATCGAAAAATAAAACTACCAAGTTTTTGCGAAATACCTTAACAGGATGTTGGTAAATGACAGTCTAAAGCATCCTGTAAAATTATGGCACCTGGTATACTGTCATTTTCAAGAAAAGTGGTATTTTTGTATCAATTTCCAACGCTGATCGGCCGATCAGCGTTGGAAACAACTGGCTTTTTTTCAAATACTGGCCCCAATTGACCATTGCACTTGTTTGCAATCGATTACAAACCTATGAACGGGTACGAGCAAGCTAGACTGGTTCCCTGACCTTACAATTCCCCAATGTATGTAAACTGTTTCTTCTTATATGGAGTCAGGGAACCAGACTACAGGAAAATTATCGTTTTTCTTGGTTTTTATAGCATTTTCGAACCCAAAATCTCCAAAAAGTCAGTGTAACTATATTTGCTTTATATTTCCAACCCCCCAATTCCATCCATTTCTGAAAATTACAGCAAAAGCAAATGATGTATATTCCCTTTAACATTATCAATTTTGTCCGGAATCTGGGCAAAGAAAAGCAATCCAACTTTTCAAGTTCACCAACAAAGTTTCCCATAACGGAACCACTGATAAAACAATTGACATGACAGGATTTGTACCTACAGTTTACAAATCTCCAAGATGTCCAGTAGGTTTCTGCAATCGAATAAGTTCAGATGAATTCAGTCAACATAGTCAAGTCATTCTGTAGTGTAGTTGAACTTTATCGATACACGTGAATACGAATGAACAGCGCCCTCTGTTGCTCCCATTAACAATTTATTTAGGAATATAAGTGGGAGGGGCGTGTGGGTGCTGGGGGGGGGGTGAGGTGGAGGGCTAGTTGCGATTTTCATTGCTTTCTACGACTTCCCTTGCACTTCAAAGATCTATATATTATAATAAACAATGATTTTCCAAAATAAATCAACGTTGATGTAATCATATCACACACTTGAAAAAATCCACAACATTCCTGGTAACGTTATTCATGGGAATACAATTTTCGACTTCCATCCCATGCAGCCCCACCCTAGTCTATGTAATGGAAGCCATGGTCTATTATATTTGAGCAGATTTGCTGATTAATTATCTTGACCTCTAGATTTTGACCAATCACTGGGCACTTTCTATATCGGGTCTTTGGTCATTCACCGATTGACGCGTCGCAGACATGGATAAAAAATAACCCTAGACACAGCAACAAAGGCTGTGGTCAGGTGCTCTGTGTTATGTTACGTGATACATGCCCAGAAGTTGTCTTACAAAACATTGCATTCGAATCGACCAATTAAACATTTAGTCCTGTTTTGGAAATGAAATGACGTCACGATTTAGTAAAGTCGACTCCGGTTGGCCGAGGTGCGGGATAGCATAAATCTACATGCTCAGATATATCAGACGTTATGCAGGAGACTGGGCTCTGTGGATAACAGGTGATACTCAGACTACCCCCACCCATTCCAAAATAACTTTTTTTAAATTTGACTTCAATCGAAAAGCCTATGAGGCAAAAAAGAGAAACCGACAGACTCAATGGTTCAAGTATGTTCAATTTTAAAAAATCAAGAATGGGAACTAAAATTAAATTGCACTTCATTGGTACAGGCAAATGGAAAATACAGTTTTAAAGAAGGAAAGTAGGAGAAAGAAAATATTAAATTAAAAAATAAAAGAGGAATAAACCTACACCAGCAGGGCATGGCCAGTAAACATAAGAGCGATTATATTCGGTATAGCCCAATAATTATCTAAAAGACAAAAGATATGTCAAGCTAGAACCACTCTAAGCAATCCATATTTTCAAATAACAGTTCCCAGGTTAACACCCAAAGTCTATGCCTAGTGAATTCACATTGTGTTATACAAAACTGTCACACTCAACAAGTAGGTTGTTACATAAAGATCCATTGTCCAAAATATTCATATTTCTTTCCAATTTCTTATAGTATTTTTTATCCTGTGTATAAACTCAGCTTTTATGTGATCATGTTGGACTACTGGACTTGCATGAAGTGGTAAGTCTCAAAACTAAAATAAAATGCAGTTAAAAGTAAACTTACAGAATAATAGTGCCATAATGTATCTTTCTAAATTAAAAAATAATATAAAGAATATGAGGACAATGTCAGAATGAATGTATGATTTATCTTTACAGGGAATGAAATACAATATTTTTAATGATAATCCTACTTTAAATGGAAGCATACTGCCTGGAACACACTTCCTATTTTAATCATTTAAAACCACATTATATTAATTGTATTTAGTTTTGAGATATATTAGTCAGTTTTGAAAATGTAAGTTATTGTCCTGTATTTTATTTGGCAAATAGTTGGTAGTTCACAAAAGCTGTTTAGATTGAAGTTCTTTAATTATAAAATAAATACGGCTGTGCATCTGGTACATAATTTGCATTGACTACTGATGACGTTTGCAATATTATTTATAATTTAACAAAAGCTAGGATATGCTGGAGGTTCAGAACTTTGGTACGTACTCTCTGAACAGGACATTTCAACTCAAAACTAACATCAAACGTAATGGAAGGTTTTGTAGAAAGAATACAGAAAAAGAATTGGAAGTCTGAGTCTTAGAACCCAAGGGGGGGGGGCAATGGGGTGGGAGTGGGTGGGGAGTGCCGGAGTGGTGAGTGGGGGGGGGGGGGGGGTGGCTTGAGTAGCGTGAGGAGTGGGGTGGGGAGTGGGCTGAGGAGTGGGGTGGGGAGGGTTTGGGAATGGGGTGGGGAATGGGGTGGGGACAGGGGTGGGGCTAAGGCCAAGTTCGCGCAAGGACTATAGTTGACCAATGGTTAACCACAGTTCGACTAACGCTTGCCCGAACTCTGTCTAGTCGACAGTGGTCGACTACGCTAGTCGACTATTTGGAACCAACCTACTGGGGCTGGTTGCATCGCTGGTAACCAATAGCCGGGCGCATTCATAACGCTAGCAGGGAGCCAGGATCCAGAAGTTTTGCGATAACATCTTGACCAGCGTTCGGCTAGAGACGTTCGCACATTGCTATTACTGCGCAGGCGTAAGGTACGTCACAAATCAACCACTAGTTGACTAATAGTCCTTGCCCGAACTTGGCCAAGGATGAGGACAGGGGTGGGGACAAGGGTGGGGAGAGGATGGGCAAAGGGATGGGGACATGGGTAGGCGAGGGGTAGGGAATGGATTGTTTAGTAGCATTACCTTAACGACATGGATACTGAGGTGGACAGAGTGATACAAACTAAAACCTTTCCAACACCAAGATAATTTTACACAAACATCAATAAAAAAGCAACAATGAATAACTTTCAGGTAAAATACACTGAATCTTTCTGGCACCATAATTATAATCCTCCTCCAATTGACACAATTTCTGTACATATTTACAATGGAAGCATCTAAAATAACAAGCATATTTCTTTTGTTTTGTACACACAAATATGTTTGAATATGTAGGCTGAACAGAATTCCAATTTGGAATCATAAAGTTTACATTCTATTCTCTGATACATTTAGAAGAAAATGATTTGAAATTACGTTTACAATGCTGATGCGTATTTACATAAATTGGCAAGCTAAGTTTTGAATATTCTAACATGATAACTACAAGTCGATAGTCTGGTGCCGGTACTGATTAACAGGACATTAACAGGTACGCAATAAACAAGTGCAGAGCCACAGCATAGACCATCATTGCAGTGCGGAGGCTGGGATGAGACCGCTTGATGCGGTTGATGTACTGCCTGTATAGTGGCAAACACAAAACAAAACAAAGATTGTATTGAAAATGGTGAAACATAAATTTAGATTTAGTGGGTTTGGAACATTAAAAATATGGCAATGCACTAAATACATGTATAAAAGACAACAATTTTTGGAGATATATTTTGATGAATCTTTCTCATCAAACTGTTGATGAGTTTGTTAACGTGTTAATTGGCTAGATGAATAAAATATGATTCTTGGCTCTGAAATTAAAAAATAAAATTGAATAGTTGTTTGTGTATGAGACCAAAAATGGACAGAATATTGGGTACAGACAGATTAACAGATAGGACAGAAAACACAGGAAGTAGCATGTGAATTAACAACGTAAACAACTCAGCATTCGACAAAAAATGTGCTTTGACCAAAAAAAATCGTTGTAGCGATGATATATCTTAACTCCCTCCAAACCATTTAATTTCAATAATAACATTTGTTCAGAATAATGAAACCGAACAGCAGCATGCAAATATGATACGACCAACTGCAATTTGTTTTTACAAAGCCAAATTTGAAAAAATTTGATGATGAAAAATGGGCCACCTACGTCCAAAACATATTTGATTTAGACCCAATCTCCACGGTACTGTTCGGAATACGAAGGGACCAGACTGCAGGATAGAATAAACGGAAAACAAAAACAAAAACAAAGTTGGAAAATGTTTCAATGTTTTTTTTGTTGTACTGGACAGTGGATACTGTATAAAACTGAAGAGCAGAAGAGTCTGTGTCTGGTACCTGGACCCACTCGTGTAAAATAATATGGAAGCGTTATAAGCAATGATGAGGGTTCAAACTGACCTTCGACCTTGTAGCCAGTTGAGGACTTGGGTTCCAAGGGAACCAGCCTGACGAGCTGTAATAAAATGATTAATAAAAGAGCAAACATTTACTTTTGATATTATACCTTGGAAGTTAAAAAAAGTAGAAAACAGCATTTGTGACTTGCGTTCACAAAATAGATTACAACAATTTAAAGGCCTAAATGCAGTAAAAAAAAAGGCATCAACAACATTAACATATGCATAAATTTACCTTGGTTTCCAAGTAATTTTTTTTTTGGAATTAATTTTCAACTCTCCTTCTTGGACAATATAACATTCTGTACCAACAAATTGAATGACAGTTTATATGGAATTTCTTGTTTTCTACTTGATCCAAAATCTCCTGAAAAGAGTACACTGTGTAGAAACCAACTTGTAGGCAACTTCGTTTTAGCACATCAGGCAATATAGAAATACTAGTTACCTTTCAGAGTCTGACTTTGTTAAGCATGACGTAGCTTGCGAGGTCGTCACTACCTCTTCATTCAGCGTTGTGGCTAAATCGGAGACAACACTGAATGAAGAGGTTCTGACGACATGCTTAACAAAATCAGACGCTAAAAGGTAAGAATTATTTCTATGTCAATATGACAGTGTCCAATATCACTATCCATGCTGCCATAGCAGGCAATATATGTCAACTAAGACAAAGAGAAACAGCAGGGCTTACTGAGTACGTGTCCTGCTCCATACGGCTGCAGCAACGGCGTTCTCTCGGCAGTGTCTTCCATCTGCACTTGAATGTCCTGCGAGGGCGGTGTTGGCGGAACTTTCTCCGCGGGTCTGCTCTCCAGGACGCGTATTTGATCCTGAGCACGCACCAATGCTTCCTCTGTTCGCAGACGCTGTTCCCTTTCCCTCTGCAATGCCGCCTGAAAAGATCAAGAAACATGAGTGCAAAAGACTTGAACCCAAACTCAAAATGCATTTTTATAAGGAAAATTTCAGATTCCTCCAAGATCTGCCACATATATTGTGAGTATTTCTGTTAATGCACTTTCCCCTTCATCATATTACACTGCATGCTCGGGAAAACTTGTTTAACCCAGATGATTTTTGATGCAGCTAGCAAAAACAACTTGACAACATGGAAAATATGTCATTTAAAGCTCTTTCGTTTGTTTGCAAATTTCTGTCTTTGTTTTCAATGAGTTTAACTGCCAGATAACTCAAAGACAACACAAAGATATAACATGCATTTAACGTTCAGGGAATATGACATTAAAATGTTTTGGATTCTTATGCATATCACGATGCATCTTAAATCCGCCCTCAAGCCGACCTTGTGACATCTCAACAGTTGAAGAAAGAGTAGAAAAATTTCAACTTCTGCGCCACAACGGAACATGTTCCAGACAGGCGGGAATCTATCAGAGTCTATCTGTGTGAAGTTAAGACTTTGTGTGCGCATCCGGATCATCTTATTTCATTGTGTAGCCAATCAGAGTGCAGCAAAATGGCCGAATGACAGACTGAAGATCGTTTGATTGTTATCAACACGTGCACCGCCAGTTTGAAGAAGTCACATGATTACGTCTAGGCCGAGGAATCGTCGTCGCATCGTGTGTGACATGAGCATGATTGTGTTTAGTCTATGTCGAGATGCTGCTTGTTGCACGATAATCACACAATATCTCAGTTTTGTGACCTGAGCAGAACTTTTGTTCTTGATGCCGATGGTTCCATCGCGGCGCCAGCAAATCACAGGTCGATCTGAGGCCGGCTTTAGGATCTCAGACAGTTAAGGAAGTGGCAAGATGATGGGAAAGTTAGTTTGTTCTGCCACCCACCTCAAGTGTTAGTTGATCAGCTGAGGTGGGTGCCTTACCCTATGATGAGAAAAAGATAACACACATACTCTTCAAAACAAACAAACCAAGCAGGAAAAAGATGTTTCTGTGACAGTAGCATGCATATTACCGTAATTTCCTGCGGATAAGACGCGTCTTATCTGACTTTCTAGACCACAAAAACATCGCTGCGCCTTATCTACAGGTGCCCCTTATCTGGTGTCGCTTGAGTTCAAAGTGACGGTCTTTGTGTGAAGAATTCTTTCAATGCCGCAATCAATAAGGCGGTCAACCAAGGCTCAACTCTCCAGACATTGTGACCGTATTTTCATTCCAACAATGCCGCGATGTGTTGATCCCCCATGATCGTGCTTTCATTCCAACACTGCCGCAATGCGTTGATCCCCCTTAGTGATCGTGCTTTCGTTCCAACAATGCCGTCATACAAACGTTTTTCTTTGTGGCCGTTTTTTCATTCCGAAAATGCTGCAATCAGAATTACTTAAACGTTTGGAAATCGCATTCACTCAAGTTCTATTGTGTGAACGTTGAGGGTGTTTATTGTACATAAATAAACACCACGCGGTCTGGGTAAATTTTCCCGTGTCGAAAGTCCAAGTGCGGACAGTGGTCACATTTGACCATTTCTCATTTTACTATCGTCTCGGTAAAACCTTCCAAAAAAAAAGTCCAGTGCGGACACGGCTTAATTCATCCTCCGAATAGTGTGATCGTTCTAAGGCAACACAATGGCCCCTTTGTGGCGATGTACCGGTACCGACACCGGGTGACACCTGGTGTTCTTCTGTGTGCGGTCAAACATGCGTCTTATGCGGCGGTGCGCCTTATCTGTTGGCGTTTGAATTTTTTGGGGGTGATTTTAGGGACCTGCGCCTTATCCGCCGCGCGCCTTATCCGCAGGAAATTACAGTACATTTAATTTTTTTTTTTAAGTGTTAGTATGCAAATTTAACATGGTTTGAGGGTGGACAGTCCATATTCGCTCCCGAGGTATTGGAAGTTGACAAACTAGTTCCCGGGGCGAAGCCGAGGGAACTAGTTTGTCAACTTCCAATACCGAGGGGAGCTAATATCGGCTGTCCACCCGAAACAAACCATGTTATATTTGTTTAACTATACCTCATACATAATTCAGTTGACGATTTTTTTTATATATGCACCTAAAACAAAAATTTCGGAGAAACTTGTACGGCTCACCAAAAGAATGTTTTGCTCAACTTCACTTGTTCAGTTCGTTTGCAATACAGTACCTACAATTGTAAATACAGTTTTTGTGTGCAACTTTCTTTTGTACAGGAGGCATCTTTATTGTCCACAAATTTTCTCCAGTACGGCACCATTGAGCTCGGGAAAATTAACATTTACGCAAACCGTGCAACCATGCATCTCTCTTGGGCAATGTTCGCGCGTGCGTACTAAACCAGTGCAACAGTTCCTCGATTGCTTTGTAAAGCGCATGTGTAGTAGACTGTCGCACTGGTAGCCCGTGCGACAGTCTACTACGCGTGCGTATTCACCCTGTGCGTGAATACGCGTGCGCGCGTTTGGTAAACAGCAAGAATAACATCTGGCACGTGATGGTGAATTAACCTGTGAGAGTTCGGCTCTCGATCATGAATATGTATGAGGTATAGTAATATATATTAATGACTTACCAAAAAAATTTACATTTTAGTATTTGCTAAGCCAAATGCAATGTTTAATGAAACAACAATCTTGTTATTTTTCATGACAGACATTCATTGCCAAAAAAAAAATGTATGCTGTAAATGCTGTACTACTTGAAGCTGACATGCCAACAGTTTATTTAAAATATATATAATATATTTACCTCCACTTCAGTAAACTCATTGGCAATCGCTTCTCTAGACTGTTCAGCATCCTCCAACCTTCATTTATAAAATAAAAAGGGAAATATGTGGGGGGGGAGTGAAAGAAAGTTTCAATTATTCCATTACATCAAGATGACAATGCTCAAAAATCATATATTCCGGGATGAATAATGCTAATGTTTATGGTTCATTCCGTAAATCAGGTGTCCAAAATGTGACACTTTTGGTTTCCCTGTTACACCTGTTAATTTCCCATGCAAGTATTGTTCTAATTAACTTGAAACTATTTCTTTATTTATTTGGAAGGTACTCAGCTTTACATATTCACTCTTGGAGATAGAAGGCATTAGGCCGAATAAAAAAAACACCATGTTTCTCGTCCGGGTTTTCGAAAAAAAGGAGGAAGCGGGGCTTTTTATTTTTTATTTGTTTCAAGATGGCCGCCATTTAAAAATTTCCTGCAATTGTTGGTGTTTCCACTGTTCAAAGACACTTTTAAATGAAAGATAAGTTGGATTAGAGAACTGAACATATTTACAGTGTCATTTAGACTTGTATTGGTCTACAATTTATTTTCCGATGAATTTGTGGACTTTTTCGGTGTATTTTTTACTGCATTTTTCAAAAATAAAAAATAATAAAAAAATCCAGGCGGCCTCCAAAAAGGAAGCGGGCGGGGACGAGAAACATGTTTTCTTTTTTACTTCGCCTTATAGAATGTGTCCTGGATTTACAAAATCTGATATCAGATGGACCCCAAGGTTATGGAATGACCCATATTCTCATACATAATGACGCAAAAGAAGGACCAATTCAGGACATTTTAACTTGATTTACAGAACTGAATACCGCACCTTCTGCTGATGTCAATCAGCTCATCTTGGTGGGTTTCCCGTACTACAGGTGCACCCTGCTGAAGGCTAGATGTCTCGGCTCTTATGATTGGTTCCTCAATCTCCTGCAAATACACCATGAATGAAATAACTGGTCAATCATCTGCCTTGTCTTTAATGACAAAAAAGATGTGAGGCATTCTGGCAAAATGAGACGGAACTGGGCACAGGCCGTAGTGGAGAAAAACCAAATGGGTGTTTCTTTTGTTTTATCCTCACATAATATTAATATTTGTAATCAGTGATATGTGTACAACATATATTTTAAAGAAATAGTATAAAACTCGTGGAATAGAAGTGCTATTGAGAAACAAGTGTCATTTCTCATTTTCCCGACCACAACCTTTTTTTCAGTATTTTACTTTTTTTGAGATGTCGATAAATGCAAAGTTTAAACAGCCATAACTTGTCAACAGAATGCCCGATTGAAGTGCAACAAAGAGTATTGCAAACCCTCATTTCAACCTTTGCCCAGTTCTGTTACATTTAGCCAGAATGCCACTTATATTTGCGTTAATACAGCAAACCACTCAAATCGGTCGATGTCTCATTCAAAATGAATGGCTTTTGTATTCGTAGAAAAATAGCAATTAAGAAGAGAAATCTATTTTTTGAGAGGAAACTCAAATTTAGCACAGGGAGTGCATCTTAAAAAAAAAAGTTTTCAGTCATAAAAAAGAGCAAGTATGGATATGAGAAGAGTACGTAATCATCTTGACTTACCACAGCAGCGCGGCTGACAAACGTCCGTTCCTTGTCTTCCACTTGCTCCGTCAGCTTGATGTTCTCCGTTTCCACCAGCTTCAGCTCCTTCTGCAGATCCCGGGCAGCTCTGGCCGAGTTGTGCAGCTGGATGCTCAGGTTGTTACGTTCCTCAATCAGTGCCGAGATCTGCATGGTCATGTCTTCGCACCTAACAGGACAAAATGAACCAACATCTTGTGATTATTATTATTATTATTATTAGCAACCAAAGCATCTAAAATGGTTGGATTAAAAACATTTTGAAAGATATTTAAATTACATTTGAGTTTGAAATATTAAAACTTTTAAATAGCAATGCACATTAAACAATCAATCCAAACCAAGTTACTGGAAACATACTTTCACAGACCTAGAACATGACTAACAGAGCTCCACCGGACATGACAAGTATTTAAATTTAAAAACAAAACATTTCAGTTATAATACATATTTAAATCATTTAGACACACATGCATTCACAGGTAACTTCACACGATATAAAAACACTTCAACCAAAAATAGTCATTAATATCAACATCAGCATCAACTTAACATTGCTAAAAAGTGACTAACAATTAGGGCTGTAAATTATAGAGACACCAGGGAATGAAACTATTCTTTAGTCTGTTCGTTTAACAGAAAGGCAGGCTGAACTGTCTCTGGTTCCTTAATGCATACGATACAGGCTGGTGTTTTTCGAGCAAATGATTCAGCCTATGGTTAGGATTTGACATGTCAGCGAATAACTGCTCACATGATGAATTGTTGACTAACTCTGTTACGTGAGCTGACTTTGCACAGAGTTTGTGATTACAGCATTCTTAAAAGTTCCCCAAAAAATTGGTTATCATAGTTGCCACTGTACCACCAGAGGTGTCTTCACCAAAAGAAAGGGTGATAAAGAAACAGGATTGGATATTTTTTCACAACCTGTTGAGATTGAAGTTTTGAGTTTACCAATGAAAACACAGCACCTTTGGGTTATTAAAGTATGCTGAAGCATCAATTCAGGAGTGCTTAAACTCCAAATTCATTTTGAAATTTCTCACTTTTTAAGACAATATCAAGAAAGACAAAGGCTTACCTCATCTCCCTCTGGTGGAGGCTCTGCAGTGCCTGAAGCCTCTCGGCTTCTGCTGTCCCAAGTTCTGCTCTTACTCCCTCATAGGCTTCCTGCCACTGCCTAAGCTGCTGATCCACAGTTCCCTCCTGGTGAGCTCTCAGCCTCAACCCCTCATTATCAGCACTCAGCTGTTGCATCTGCTGCTGCAACGCCCCCAGCTGTTCCCCGAGATGCTCGCTCTCATGCTGGTATCTCTCCACCACTTCCCTGAGTTGAGAGCATTCTGCCCTGAGGTGGTCCCGCTCCACTTTGAAGGACTCCAGCTCCCCTTGGAACCTCTCCAGCTCCTCTCCCAACTCCTCTTTGTCTTGCTCCAGGGTTTTGTAAGCTTCTCTCTGTTGGCCGAGTGTCTCTTCATTTTCAGAGCTAGCCACTTGCAGCTCCATGATGACATGCTCCCGCTCGCCCAGGTGCTTCCTGAGATTTTCGAGATCGGATGTAGCAGTCTTCAACTTGGTAGTGGTGGACCGAGCCTCTTTCATCTGATCACTGTACTCCTGAACTTCGCTCACCAACTCTTCATTCTCTTGGAGTAGTTGAGCATTCCGAGCCATCAAGTCTCTGTTCTCTTCTAGCGCATTATTGTTTTGTGATTCCACTGTTGCTAGTGTAGATTCCAGTGCCTTCAGAACCTGCACCTCATCCAGCGCAGTCTTGGCTTGATTCTTGGCCACTGCAAGCTCCTCTGCAAGGATGGAGTTCTTCTGGTCTAGCTTGTCCAAGAGCACTTCCACCTCTTCTTTCTCAGCCACCAAGATATTCTTGTCGAGCTTCCCGTGTTCAAGTTCCTTTGCCAACTTCTCAAGATCTGCTGTTTTCTTGTTCAAATGTTCCTCTGCATTGCGGAGTTTTGTAGTGTACGTTTCGACCTGTTGGTTTAACTTGGCTTGCGTTTTTGTGAAGTCATCTTGAACATTTTTGCACTCTGTTTTGGCGGAGGTCAGATCAGAGTTGAGTTGCTTTATCTTGGACTGAAGGTGATCAATAGCATCTTGCTGTTGTTGCATCATTTTGGACAAATTGTCATTTTCCTCTGCAAGAGTCTGCTTTTTGGACTCGGCCTGCATCCTGACATTTTCCAAATCAGAAACCTTCATTTTCAGCGATTCGTTGTCTGTGATGAGCTGGTGGCACTTATCTCGCGTTGCTTCCAGTTCTTGTCTCAGATTGACCGACTCTGAAGCACTCTGATCACTAGACTGGCGCAGATGCTCAAACTCCTGCTTCATGACCAAGACCTGAGACTCTGCCTCGGATTTCTTTTTCACAAGTCCGTCCATTTCTTCCTTTTCTTGCTTGAGCTCTTCCACCTCCTTTCCTAGCTTCTTCCTAGCATCATTTATCTTGGTCAGCCTCTCCTTCAGCTTCTCGTTTTGTCTCTGGATAGCCTCTTTCCTGCTCTCTGTCTTTTGAAGCTCCTCCGTCACCTGAGTCAACTGCTGTGACAGCTCTTCACACCTTGTACTTGCTTTACTCTCTTTCATCTCATGCTGTTCAACAAGACTTTGGAGGTGTTCATTTTTATCTTTCATTTCCACCAGCTCCTCGTTCAGCTTCTTGAAGTCTGAAGCAATCTCGTTTTCCCTCCTGCTGTTGTCCGTTTGCATATAAACCTGCAATGATTCCTTCTCCTCAATGAACTGTGCCAGCTGATTGTCCTTTTGTTCCAGCAACAAAGCCATTTCATTCAACTCTCCACTTCTCTCCTCGATGACCTCCTTCAGCTCAGCTTTGTCGGACTCCATCTGAGCCACTTTACGGAAGAGTTCATTTATCTCACAATCTCGTCGGTCATCACCCTCAACCCTTTGGTCCAGGAGTTGCTGGACCCGTTCCTTCTCTACCGTGGCCTGCATCATTTGTTGTCCCATCTCTTGCAGTTTGTGAGCCAAGCGACGTTCCTTGTCTTCTACTTCTGACAAGTGTTGCTGCAGATCCTCCCTCTCTTTCACGAGCTTCTCCACCATTTCCTTGGCTCTGTCAAGCTCAGACTGGAGGCTTTCCTCACATCCCCTACTCTCAGTCACCGACTGCTCCAGTTGTCGCTTCAGCTGTGTCATCTTTTCGGCGTTTTCAGTCAGTAATCCCAGTCGTGACTCTGCATCCTCTACTTCAGATTTCAACTGTTTGATAGTCTCTGACAAACTTTCCTGATCCTGTTGGTGGACCCTTTCCGCCTCCACGAGCTGCTCCCTCAGTGCTGCATTATTCATCTTTTCACCATTCAGCTCGTGTTGAATTTTCTGAAGCTCTTCATTATGTTCCTCGGCATTTGATATCTGTGCTTGCAACTTGTTGCAGACATCAGACAAATGCTCACTCTCCTGTTGATGAGCATTCTGAGCCTCTTGGAGCTGTTGCATCAATTCTTTGTTCTTTTCTTTCTCACCTTCCAGCTCATTACAAATCTTTTGCAGCTCTTCATTCCACATCTTGGATTTCTCTTCCTGAGTTGCTTGTCCCTGAGATTGCATGGTTTTGATTGTATCATCTTGATCTTTTTTCTGGGCACGTGCTTGACGGAGGTTCTCTTCCGATACTTGTAAGCTGGATGCCAAGGTTTCTTTCTCGTTCCTGCATTGCTCATTTTCCAAATGAACCTTTTCTAACATCGCATCCTTTTCTCCTAGTTGTTTTTCAAGATGAGCAGTACTATCTTGCAGGCTCTGCATTTTGCCCAGGTTTTCCATCTGTTTGCTACCAAGAGCTCGTTGGGCAACTTTCAACTCTTCAATAATTTCATTTGCAAGTGCCAAGTTATGTTCCTTTTCTTTGACTGTCTCTCTTAGTGAGGACAACTCTGAATTTAAGCCTTCATTCTCCAAAGACACAACATTCTGTTTTTCAAGTTCTTGATCAAGTCGGTCTTTGAGGGACAATGATTTTGTCTGAAGGACATTGTTTTCCTCAACCGCAATCATCAATTGTTCATTTTTACCTGTCAACAGTTGGTCTCTCTCCTCCAACAATCTTTTCAATGACGCAAGTTCTGATTGTTCTCGTTCACAATCTTGAGACAAAGCCTGCATCTGTTGGTTCCTCTGTTCAATGGTGCTGTTCAGAGATGCAACTTCAGACTCCAACCTCTCCTTCTCTTTTGAAGCCAGCTCTGACTTGGCCTTTATCTCCTTGGCTTTTACAAGCAGCTTCCCATATCTTTGTTTGCCAGTCTCTATCTCGGCTTTCAACTTTGCATTTTGATTCTCTAGCTCTGCCTGGTGGTCTGGGGCCGGTGCACTTTCGGTCATCTGAACCCTCTCCACCACAACTTTCTCCTGCTCTTGGATGAGCTGCTCCTGTAACACTGAGACCTTGGATTCCTGCTCTGAGAAGCTCTCATTCAGATCACTCAACTGGCCTTCCTTGTCCTGTAGTTGGTCCAGAAGGTCCTTCAACTGAGACTCTTTGGTTTCAAGAGCGGCTTCCAACTCTGGCACTCGTGTGCTCAGCTCTGTTAGACTGTTGTTGAGGGAGCTAACTTCGGCGCTGAACTCTTCGTCTCTTTCAAGAAGCTGGTTCTTGAGAGTCTCAACAAGGATAATCTTCTGCTCCAGATCCCTGTCCATATGGAGGATTTTGTTTGAAGCAGTATGCTGGGATTCTGTCTGTGAGGTGGCAATATAGGACATTTCTTTGGCTTGCTCTTCGAGTTTAATCTGAAGGTTCTTAGATTCCTCTGTCTTGCTTGCTAGATGGTTCCTTATCTCATTCCGCTCATGGATCACTTTCTTGCATTTCTCCCGCAGCGATGATATCCTTGACTCATATTCACCCTTCTTTTGATCAAACTCTTGGTTGAGTTCTCTGAGTTTATTTTCGCTTTCATTCAAAGCAGTCTCCATTGTGGATGCCTTCTCTGTGACTTCTAAGAGGGATTTCTGAAGTGATGCAATTTCATTGGTCATTTGTGTCTCTCTATCTTTCATCTCCTTCTGGAAATCATCCGTACCGTCAATGGCCTGTTCATATTTCTCTTTCCAAGCTGCAATCTCTTCAGACATCACAGCTTCTCTTTGCAACAAATCCCCTTTCAACTGAGTCCATTCAAGTTCTCTTGCTTCAACCTCCTCTCTCATTTTGGCAGTGTCAACCTGAGACTGCTCTAAGCTTTCGCTAAGGGCTGCCACCCGATCCCCAAAATTCTTATCTCCCTTTTCTATCTCAGCTTTCATTCTATCAAGGAGGTTGTTTTTGGTTTCAATTTCATGGGCACATTCTTCTAAGTTTGCAGACAGATTCTGTACTTCCTTTTTGAGATGTTGCATCTCCTCGGCATAACTCTCCTCATTGCTGATGAGTCTTTGTGTCAGATCTTCAATCATCTCAGCCTTGACAGCAAGCTCTTCACTTAGACGCTGCTCCTTCATTTCTGCCATTTTCAGGTGTTCTGTAACCGACAGGTTTTTCTCCTCAAACGCTTCACTTCTCCTAGCAAGCTCTTCTTGAAGCTCTTGAACGGCCTTTTGCTTTTCATTGGTTTCCGCCGAGGATTTCTGGAGGCTTTCTTTTACAGCTGTAACCTGGGATGAAAGGGATTCTCGCAGTGTTTGCACCTCCAGAGTTGATGAACCCAGCTCTTCTTTCAACCTTTCAGTCTCTTGTCTCAAGACGGCAGCCTCCTCTTTGTGCATATCAACCTGCTTCATCAGAGCATCTTCTTTGTTATGAAGCTCCTTGGTCTCCTTTTTACACTGTTCAATCTCTGTAACAAGAATGCCTTCTTGTTCGTTCTTGGACTGAATTACATCTGCAGCATTTTGAAGCCGATCTTTGAGATCATTACACTGTCTGCTTAGTTGTTCTGCTTCCTGTGTCAGCTTTTCGACATTTTGCTCCAAAGTTGAAATTAACCGTTCTCTTTCTTGTAGCCGGTTTTCAAGCTGCTCTCGCTGCTTCTCTGATGACATCAACATTTCTTGGTTTGAAGTTGACTCTGATTGCAAGGCATTTTCTCTTTCTTCAAGACTCTTTTCAAGATGTTCTTGCATCTCACGGAGTTCCGTCATCTGTTTTTCTTTTTCTTTCAAGGAGTACTCCATTTCTTCTACATTCTTAACAGCCACATCCAATTTCTGGTGCAACTCTTCACAAAGCGTGGATTTCTTTGTGGCTTCCTCAATGAGTTGAAGTTTTTCACTCTCCGTGCTTTTCAGGAGGGCCTTGAGGTTAATTATTTCAGATGTCAGAGCAGCCTCCATATTGCTGAATGCTTCTTTCTCTATTCTTAATAGTTCTTGGTGGGAGTCTTCCTTGTCCTGGACAAGCTGCAAGGATGCCATCAACTGATCCTGCAAGGACTCAACTTTGCCTTCTTTCTCTTCAACCTGGCGGGAAAGCTTCTTGATTGAATCTTTCAGCTCTCTGACAACATTTTCTGCCTCTGAGGACTTCTGTTCAAACTGAGCACTCAGGTCCTGGAATCTGTTGTCCTGTTCGGAGATAGTCCTCTGATTCTCAGTAATCTCTGACTCCAGTTCGGCAATCTGTCCCAGAAGGGAAGACATCCTGGACTCTGTCTTCTTTCCCTCAGCCGACTGCCCTTCCCTGAGAACCTCTATTTCTCGCTCCGCCTGGCTGACCGAGTTCTCTAAAGTCCCTATCCTGTAATCCCGCTCAGAAATTTGATCCCTCATCGAGGACAGTTCTTGTATGTTCTCCTCCATAACCTGTGATTGTCTTGATATTTCCTTATCCTTCTCTTGGCAAGTATGAGTCATCTCAAGACACTCCTCTTCTTTGCTGTGAAGAGCAGCCTCTAGTTCTCCTTTTTCAGCATCAAACCTTGAATGCTGATTTTCAAGTTCTCTCTGGATTTCTGATAAACCGATCTTAGAGGAGTCCAACTCTACTTCCAGTTTGCTTTTCTCTTCTGCAAGTCTGGCCGACTTCTCTCTCTCCTCCTCTAGCTTGACTTGGGTTTCAGCCACATCCGTCTCTTTAGACGCAAACCTGTCGCAGAAGGTCTGGACTTCGTCCTCCTTCTGGCGCAGTTTGGTCGATGTTTCTCCCAAGGCAGCTTCTAGCTCTTGAATTTTGGCCCCGAAGTCATCTTTTTCCTTGGAAGAGCAGTCAAGTTGGTTTTGGAGGTCGGTGAGTTGATGTGATAAGTCGTCTCTTTCAATTCCAAGAGTTTCTGTTTCCTTGCGTAGGTCTTCAAGTTGGCTCATCAGTGCTAACATGCGGTTTGTCTGTGTGCAAAGTTGGAAGAGAAAGGAACAAATAGTACATTTAGGCACTATCGTGAAAATGTGAAACTGTCCATATTTGAAATGGACAAAGAAAACTGAGAAAGAGCTTTTTCAGAGGATTTCTCCTAATATATATTGTTATGCTATGAAGCGATGCAAACAATTTTACGGTTTTAACATTGAACTAACGACAAAACTCTTCCACTAAAAATTGTGATGCAATAATAAAACCAGAATAGCAAAAACAGAACCATGCAAAGACCATGTCATAGTCATTCCAAGGATGATCATGTTTTCCTGGATGGAGCCATTATTACAGATTGTGACAAAACACAAAGGATGGTGCATTCAGTAACCTCGGTCTCATGCACTGTAGGCATACACCACTGTACTGTTCTTGTACTCAAATGACATCACAGGGTCACGTGAATATCAAATGCTCTTTTTGCAAATTCTAATAAATTACTTTCGAAACCAGGACTTACAATCAATTTTTGGCTAGACAGGGACATAATTGATTATCATGCAAAACTCTGTCATCGCCAGTTTTAGTAATGTATATTATTAGTTAAATCAGCAAATTAAATCAAATCTAGCCTTGGATTGTACAGTGTCTGTTATAAAGGCAAATAGGATCATTTGCTTTTCATACATTTAGTTCATTTATAATTTCACCACTTAAAATCCAAGGAAGAACGTTCAAAACTTGACCTGTTTACATTTCAGCTCAGTGGATATTATACATATCGATAAAACAGTGAAAAACTACGCACAAAAACCTTTTGATCATGATACATGATTTTATTGCCATTCTTTATTTCAAAAAATCAGTCAATAATTTCACCAGCATTCTCTTTGACCCTAACCCCCGTGAGTGATTTACTAGAAATCTTTCTCACTCCTGCAAAATCCAACACCATATGGTAACTCAACACCCAAAGTGTTGGACTCTGATTATGGTGGTACGCCTGACCCCTTGCAAAGCATAATCAATTTACTAATGCAGTTACTCACTCCAGCAGATTCCAACAAAACGTGCAGTTGGATTTTGAAGGGTCGGGGTTGGTTAGAGTTAACCCTAACCCACCTCAATCCTCCAAAATCCTCATTGTGGTTTGGGAGGATTTGGGAGGATTGAGGATGAATGGTGTTTGAAGCACATGAGGATTTTGAATGATTGAGGATGAATGGTGTTTGAAGAAGAGGAGGATTTCGGAGGATTGAGGATGAATGCATTTTTAGAGACAGAACTGTCTGATGATTTTGAAGGACTGAGTCACTGGGTATCCTTCATTTGAACATAAACGCAAAATTTAGGAGGATTATTGAGGATGGTTCCTAGCAAAAAGGCTCTAGGGGGTTAGGGTTAATCCAGGTAAGACTTTGTGACAATAATTTGGTAGGTTACTTTTGGGATATATGCAAATGATCCTATATGCCATTAAAGGGAATGTACATCATTGGCTTTTGCTGTAATTTTTAGAAATGGCTTTTGCTGTAATTTTTAGAAATGAACTATTTGAGAGGTTAGTATAATAGATGAAATATTGTTACACTGACATTTTTAAAGTTTTGTGTTCGAAAAGGTTGGAAAAACCAAGAAAAACAAAAATTTTCAAGTAGTCTGGTTCCCTGACTCCACAAAAGATAAAATGGATCGATTTATAAATGATGGAAAATTGTAAGTTAAGGGAACCAGTCTAGCTGGCCTGCACCCGTCCATGAACATGTAACCAATAGCAAACAGAATTTGGACTGAAAAATGGTAAATTTGGAGCAGTAGTTGAAAAATAGTTAGGTTTTTCCAACACTGGTCGGCCGACCACCGTTGGAAATGTTTACAAAAATACCATTTTCTTGAAAATGACTTCACACCAGGTGCCATAATTTTACAAGATGCTTGAGACTGTCATTTACCAACATACTAGTAACGTATTTCGTAAAAACTTGGTAGTTTTATTTTTCGATGTTTGCAAATGTTGTATATTCCCTTTAACAACACTCCGTCTGTCCAACATACCTCATCTTGTAGCACCTGTTCAATCCTCTCAGTTTCACCTGTCACCCTCTCCAGCTCAGCCTTGGAATCTACAAGTTGCTGCTGTACCTCACGGTACTCACTCTCCACCTCAGATTTGGAAACTCTGAGTGATTCCAACTCAGCCTGATAGAAAGAGAAAGTGGAAAACAAATTAGCTATGTAATGGCTCTGTGTGAAACTGTCTAGATACTGGGGCAGATAGGGGAAATATTTGGGGAGTTGTGCCTTTGATGACACAAGTGGCATTTGGCACACATCTCAGAGTATGCTTAAGAAAAATATTTGGCTGTTACAAATTTATCCAACAAGGTGTTAGTGCTCTTAGTACGGCAATAGGCGATGGGATTGTGCCTTTAATGATACAAGCATGGCATTTGGCACACAGTCAGAGTATGTCATGAGAAAGATATTTGGCCATAGGGCCATCGTAGATTTGTCCTTTGAAAACATACAGGCAGAATAACAAGCAATTTTCAAAATTTTCAAAATGGCTGCCATTGCTTGTTATTCTACCTATATTTTTCAAAAGACAAATCTGCGATGGCCCTATAGCCAAATATCTTTCTCATGACATACTCTGTGTGCCAAATGCCATGCTTGTATCATCAAAGGCACAATCCCACACCTATCTGCCGTACAAAGAGCACTAATACCGTGTCAGATAAATTGTTAACATTATCTTTAAGCATTTTCCCAAGCATCTCAACATCTTTTCAAATGTGTATAATTTCAAAATTGTACTCCTTATCATGGGTGCGTTTCGTACATTTACAATCTCTAACAAGCTATGGGTATGTGCACATTCGGAAGATAAATTTTCTCATGTAAACTGCGTTGCCTATAAAATTATTGCGTGCGCGTGAAGGGTGTGCGTGTAGGGCTCCGCATCTCAAGAGAGAACTGCAACCTCTCAATCTAAAACAAGAGGTTAAACTGCAGTCAATTAATTTATTTCTCGAGTGGTGAGTTAAAAACCTTTATCTTTTTTACTTATTGACACGATATAGCAAAACAATTGTTGACTGTTGTGATGTGGGATATGTCGTTTTCAACCTCTTTTGGGGGTTAAAAACACCGCATCTCACATCACAACAGTCAATTATTAAATAATACAATTAACACATTACAAACTATAAAAGTGTTGACTGGATGGAACCTACCTCCGTTTGGCTTCTCGCCGCTTTCTCTTCCTCCAGTTGTTTCAGTGCGTCCTCCCTGCCGCTCTCGAGATGTCCGACTTGCTCCTGGAAGGCCTCCCTCTCTCGCTCCATCTCGGCCAAGGGAAGATGCTCCCTCTCCATTGTCTCCTTGAGATGCTGGACCGTGTCCTGGAGATGGACTGTCTGCTGCTCAAAATCTAGGAGGGTTGTCAAACATGAAGTGAAGCAAATTAAGAAACTGGCATCGAGGGATATCCCAAGATGAAGGGATAAGTTTCAACTGAACTACACAGAAGCGTTATGGACTCCATGTACAAGTACCCACTCACATGGTCACACACAGGGTGAGTTGAAAAGAAATTGACCAAATTAGAAACTAGAAAGCACTCGGAGAACGCAACCTCCGCCAAAATTGAACAATTCCCCGCCATATTGTTAGTACTTTCAATACGAGGACCATTTAAAAATGCTCAATCATGTTCTGAAATCAAAGGGCAGAAAGACACTGTATTGATATGTATTGTTCACTTGTTGAATACAGAATTATCAAACTTGTGCTTCTAGCAGAATTGTGCCATTTCTACAGGGTCACTGTTTACATTGGGGTCATAAAACAGGGACTCGCTCGCGGGGTCTCTAGAGGGACCGGTGAGCTGACATACAGGTAATGACTTTAACATACGTGGCCCGTCACTTGCACTGTGTCACAGTATATGGCCCAGAAATGGACGGGTCCATTAGTTTCTTTGGGGGGGGGGGGTGCCCCAGTTTCATGGTCTATGGCATATTTGCACATACAGAATGGTGAAGAATCCTTTAAAAAAAATCATGCATCCAGATGATGTCCACAATCTAACAGGTCGGTACTTGAACCAAGAACCACCCCTACACAGATTTTCATGAAAATCTGCCCACAACTTTTTGAGTTATCCTGTTCACAGACAAACCAACCAACCAACCAACCAACCAACACCGGTGAAAACATAACCTCCTTGGCGGAGGTAAAAATATTTTGCCTTGTGATTTGACTTGTGATTGTATGAGTTGACTTGCGATTGACTTGTAACTGACTTGCGATGGATCTAACAACAACTCCACAGAGGACAACATTCTTCTTACTATCTTTCTCCTCCTCTAACTGAACCATCCTCAGCTCCATGGCAACCTTTTCCTCCTTCAGTTCGTCTCGCTGCGACTCCATCGAGGAAAGCTCCCTCTCAAGACCATCTCTTGCCTCATTCAATGATGCGATTGTCTCCTCCTGTGTCGCCTAAAGAAGAGAAGAGTAGGAGGAAGCAATTTTTTAAACACAATGAACATTTTTTAGGTAAATCAAGATTCTTAAGAGTGATGGAAACAGAACAATTCTGCAATGGAAAATAAGCGTCAAGTAGGTGAAGGTAAACACTATAAGGAGACTGTTGAATATAACAGTCATTCTACAAATTTGGGGTCCACTTTTTTCATATCCGTGTTACATCTGACATCTGCGAATCCTGGATGCACTCCTTAATGCAGTCGTCCTCCAAGAGCGACTATGAATAGCAGACTGCCTACTCAATAAATTAAAAATCATTTGAAGTCATTCTTATTGACACTTGAACGGCAAATTACAAAGTTCCAAAGCAACGGGGACAGGACAAATGTCACACTTTGGACCCTGAATTTATAGAATGACCCATAATCCAAACTTTATCACTGCATGAATTTAAGTCGCAACTTATAAGAAAGGATGAATTCCAAGGCTAATTTTTTTAACAAGGAACATTGCGAAATCAGTCAAAATCAAACACCATGCAGAAACCAAATGGCCAAAGAAAAACATAAGTTACCAGAGCTAGTACTGAATCCCTCATTATTTTTTTTTTCCAATTCAACAGAACAGTCATTTTATACCTTCAACAGTAAAAGAGATACACATTTTTTTTTTCCCAAACAAAAACAGATGTTGAACATTGGTGGATATGAGGTTAATACGAGAACTACAGATAGACAAGAACAAAATCAAGACAGTGCCAAAATAAAACCCCATTAGTAAAAATGGACCTTAAACATAAAAAGTGAATGAAAAATAAGGCTGACCAGCTAAATAATAAAAATTAAACTGATATTATAACAGCCATCTTCAACAAATTCAATTAAAATTTTGATATAAACTGTGGTCGATGACTGCTTAACAAAAACTGAAACACAAAACCCTGAAAATAACATAATTGATTTTTTTTGTTTTAGTAAACAAAAAATGTGCAACATTCATTCCATGCAAAAGCAGGGCAAATGGCAGTGTGCTATTCTCCGAGTGCATGCTAAACCTGTTACTCATGGGGATAAGAGTACAAACGGCACCTATGAATGGGAGTTCTTTAAGCATTTAAGTCTCGGCTGTGTGGCTGGTGTGTGTGGCTGGTGTGTGCGAGTATGTAAACACCGGCAATCGTGGACGTAGTACAAAAGAATGTGGGCGCAAACAACACGTCCACGATTGACCGAACGTCCACGATCTCAAATCGTGTACAAAACCAATGAGAGCTGTCGCTAAAAAGTTAGAGTACAAACAAAGGAAAGAGGATTAGGGACAATGGGGCGTCCACGATTGCCGGCATTTACACACGTGGGTGTGTGTGTGTGTGTCTGAATGTAGACTCCCAAGCAAGTCTTGACAATGGGAGACTGTTCTTCAGACAAGTTTTTGTAGGAGGGCAGTATCGATGAAATGGTAACCAAAATACACAGTCCACCTTCTAAACCCTCCACATTCATACCAAAACTGCATATTAACATAAATATGTCGATCGTCCTTTTCAGCTATTTGTCTAACAACACACAAAAAAAACATATGTTTATTTGGCAATCCATAAAATAGCCCAGTTAAATTTAGATATCTCTTAACAGATATTTCAGTATGTGAATTTTGTATTTTTCCTTTTTGCCATTCCATAATCTACAGCAAGGCAGCGAATTTTCAATTTGTGGTTTTTGATTGGTAACACCTCGTGTTTAAAAAATGCTACAGGTTCAGCAAAATGGCCTACACACACAGAACACATCAGCTTTAATGGTTATGGCTCAACTGCAACTAAATCGATGGCTTCATGAGCAGCTTCATAGCTCCCAATTTTTTTTTCATAATACCAACCATAGTGGCTTCTTTTATATCAACAAACAGCAAATTTGGACGCTTGAATATAGACCCAATTTCATGACGTCACATTTTGAGTAGCATCAAGCCCACGCCTGCTCACTAAATGAATTATTTTCCACCTTCTGCGCTGCAGACGACTTTGATGTAGCAATAAGCCAGCTCAGTATCTCAATGAATTAGTCCAGGCCAAAGGTCATTCAGGATAAGCGTCAAGGATCTTGTAACCACGATGTTACGCGAGCACCTTTTCTGCTCGTAATTAACATGCGAGCGTTGTGCGACCGTCTCCTTGCGCGTTCATGCGTCTTCCATGAGCATTCGATTATCCCAAATGACCTATGACCCATACACGTATCATTGCAAGCAGGCACAGTTGAAATACCAAACTGGCTAACTGAGAGGCCAGTCCTTGTGACGTCATGAAATTAATGAAATATGCAAACAATTCTCTAAGACAATGGTCAACAATAGTCAAGTATCAAAATTAGCGGTAGCATGTTAGCAAGTAAATCAGCAGTATCAATTGCGACGGCCACTGCAGTGGTTAATTTTTTTCACAAGTCTTAATTAGTCTTAATTGAAATGTTGTAAGCAGCGAGCTAAAAACTGCTAATAAAAGCAACAGCTTTTAGGTTCATGCACAAGGACAACAGCACACTGCCTATTTGCACAGACACACATCATTATTATTGTTCTGAATCTAACCATGAGTTTTTCGGCACTTTTCTTAAACTCGGCCAGCTCAACAAGTTTGGTCTCGACACTGACCCTAGACTTCATCTCAGCGTCTCGGGCGTCCTCCGCCTCCAGCAGCCTCTCTCTGAGATGGGACAACTCCTCCGAGAGAGCCGCCATCTTGTCCCGCTGCTGCTGGTCAAACTCCAACTGATTCTATCAAAGTGACACGAGTCCATCAAAGATTCAGTTTACTTTAAGATGGAGCAATCGCTTGCTGTAATATATACATGAGTCAACACTCTGTACATTTACTGAATACAAATTAAACTTGCCTCAGTGAGGGCGCTCTGTGCAAGGGGTCTAGTTCAGAAAACAATGCTTAGCAAATTCATGATACCAGCAACAAATTAGCAGAGAACCAGTTGTGAGCCTATACATCTCATTACATTTTGGTTGGTAACCTGCCTTCTGTGAGCAGATACTCTCTGTGCCCAGCAGTTTCCACGCAAAGATGCTCATCAAAATTGGCCTCTGGCTTTAGACAGTTATCTTGTCTGCATCTGTTGTCATTTTTTACATACATTTCCGTAAGTAAATGGCCAAACAGAATATATCCAAGTGTCCAAAATCCCTTCAGAATTAAAGGTTATGTACAACATTTGCAAACATCCAAAAACAAAACCACCAAATTATTATGAAATATCTTACTTCACTGCAAGTTAATAATAGCCTTAAGCAACCTGTCAAATCAAGACACCTGGTGTGCTGTGTACTGCTGTCTGTTTTCAAGAAAAGTGGAATTTGGTACAATTTCCAACGATGGTCGGCCGATCATCGTTGGAAAAAAAAAAAGACTTTTTTTTCAAATACTGCCCCCAATTTACCAAATTTAGTTAGTCCACATTTTGCTTGCAATCAGTGAACGGGTGCAAGCCAGCTAGTCTGCTTCCCTGACCTGACAATTCCCCAACATCTATAAATAGCTCCGTTTCGTCTGAAGTAGGGTCAGGGAACCAGACTACAAGAACAGCATTATTTTTTATTTTTTTTGGTTTTTCCAGCATCTATTAACACAAAACTTTAAAAACAGGTCCGAGTAACAATATTTGCTATAAAATACTAACCCCCAAAATCCATTCATTTCTGAAAATTACAGCAAAAGCAAATGTTGTTCATTACCTTCAAGAATATGGCCAATTTTCATTCTGGATCACAGGCCTTTGAAAATGGTGTCACAAACAGCCTTCTGTTAGTAATGGCAAAGACTAAAACTAACTACAGGTGTGAAATCCAAGGATGCAACAGCAAACTGTAGGTTTTTAATTCCTTGCCATTTTCCTTACCTGGTCTAACTTGGATTGCAAATCTTCCAGCTTAGACTCTATCTCAAGCCGTTCTTGTGATTGGGCCTCAATCATCTTGCGAAGTTCGTCTTTCTCCTCTGAGACATTCTGGCATTTTGTCTCCAGATTACTCACAGTTGTTTTCAAAGTTTCTATTAAGATAATGGACACAAGAACCCTTTTCTGACTAACTTCTCTGTAGCAATTTTTGCAGATTGTTTATTTATGCATGTTTTAATTGTGCTCATTCTTTATTATAACAAGCATTTTCTTGTTATTATTGTTACAGACAAAATTACATTTTTGTCTTGCAATTCACTGATTTTGATTACAGTTTTAAGGGGGAAATTAGCGGGAAAATAAAAAAATCCCCCCTCCCCATTTGTGTGTCAGCAGAGCCCCAGAGCAATACAGGGTTTATCTTATCTACAGTACAATTCATTTGCATAAAAAGCTACTCCCTAAAATCTGCCCATAGCAAATGTTTTACCAAAAAAGAACAAGAACAGTAACAAAAACGTTTTAGGCTTTTTAAAAATCCATCGATCAGGAAATATCCCAAAAAATCTCACCCCTGGTTTTGACAAAAACTTTTGTGACTCAGGCAACATCACAATCTCTGAGCCGTGTACTCACCAATCTGAGCCGTGTTCTCGTCAAAGTCCATCTGCTTGAGTTGCAGGTTCCCCTTCTCTTCTTCAAGCTCGGCAATCTTGAGTTTCAAATCACTCAGCTCCTCTGCCATGGAATCCGCCTGTGGCAAAATTGTGATGTTTGGGAAAGACAAGACAAACAAGAACATGAAAGGAAGAGGAAAAAGTAGAAGAGAATTCAAGCTTAAGCTTGGTATGGAAAACAGATGAATACCACAGAGATTTTTTAAACGAGGGAAGAATTTCGAAAGACACCAGAAAGTGACACATCTTCCAACAAAATTCATAGATGATCCATCACTTTGTGGCGTGACAGATATGAAGTTGACTATAATTAAGAAACTACAAAGTTGAATGAAAAGGATAAAGGAGAAAATTTGTCAAGCAGCTACCTTTTTGAGTTCCTCCAGGTCTTCTTCAAGGGACTTTATCTTAGCTTTGGCCTGGGCCTTGACTTTCATGAATTTAGCCTCCGCCTTCTTGTTCGACTCCTTGACCTCCTCATCTTTGAGTCTGATCTCTTCTTCCTTGTCTCTGAGTTGTTGTTGCAGCCTATCAATCTCAGCCTGCTTTGCTTCCATTTCTGCTTTTTCCTGTTCCAGCCTGTCTGTTCTGGTTTGAACCAGTTCTGTCCTGGTTTGTTCCAGCGCTGTCTTGCTCTGCTCCAGTTCAGATTGGGTCTGCTCAAAGTCTGACTGGATCTTGTTATGGCTGTCTGAAACTTCCTTGTACTGCGTCTCATACTGATGAAGACTTGTTTGCAATTCCGTCACGGTGTTTGTCTTCTCTGTTAACTCAGTCTCATGCTTCTCTCTGATTTCCTCAATTTGTCCTTCCAGAGCTTGTTTCTCGTTCCTCCAAGCCTGCTGCCTGGAGGCAAAATCCTCCTGAAGGTTTCCCAGTTGATCCTGGTACGTCTGCAGTTTCTCCGTCAGGGACTTGACAGTGGTCCCCTGCTCCAAGAGCAGCTTCTCCTTCTCTCCAATCTCACCTTGCAGCATCTCCAAGACTCGGACTTTCCCCGACAGGATCTCTTCGGCTTCTTGGCATCTCCTCTCCAGTGCCTTGGTGGCTGCGTCGTTGGACTTGCCCACCAGCTGGGACATCTCTCTCCTGTGCTCCGTCTGTAGCATCTCCAGCTGGCCTTGCCGCTGCTTGGCCACGGTCCGGACTTCAGCCAGCATCTCCTGGTGAGTGCGTACCAGTTCCTGTTTCTCTGCTTCCCAGCGTTCCCTCTCCGCGTTAAGTGCAGCATCTCGCTGCTCAAGCTCTGTAGTCAGCTGGCTGATTTTCTCATCCGTGCCTTCAGTCTTTTCCCGCATGTTTTCCAGCACCCGGTTGAAATCTGTAATGGCCTGGTCCTTCTGTTTGCACTCTGCCTGTAAGACCTTCAATGAAAGAAATTCACAAAATGTTTTGTTCAAAAATATTAATCCTTAACCCTACTGACATTTTACTAAAAACAGTACCAATTCCGTCAAAATCCATCAATGACTCTGCTTCACATAATGCTTCAGGACCAAATCCGTTGAAATCCACCACTGCTTGTGGATTTTGATGGACTTGGTACACATGGCTTATCTGCCATAATACCCCCAAATGGGGGATGGATTTTGATGGAGTTGGGAAGGTTAGGATTAATTGAAAATGGTGGCCCACCCCAATGGAACTTACAATTAAGCCTTTATCACTGACTCGGTGAAATCTATCAACGTCACAGTATCACCAACTACCACAGAGAAATGCAGCAACTTAAACCAGAGGTGAAGTGCACAAACAGCAAAAACAAATCCAGCAACACAACTCTAACAACTGTGCAGATTGTATATATTATCCACTTTGTAAACTGCTCGTTATGATGGCTGGGGTGAACATTGCAATGAGTTATGAGTAAAAATCTCAGCAATAGATGCAATAGTGCATGTATGTTGACAGGTGTGCAAGAATGGGAAGTGCAAACAGATACTTATGTAAGTGTTAAGTAAATTTGTTCTGTAGACGCAATTTCTAAGCTTGTTCCACATTTCTGTATGTGAATACTCTTTTGTCAGTCAATATCATGTACAACCTGTCAACTTACCAGTTTGGACTTTATAAAACCAATTTTTATTTAACATTCACAGAACTGCAAGGATTAGAAGCACATAAGTGCACAGATGGTCCAAAATGACATTGCACATGAATTTTTACAAACACAAAACAAGACAGTGCTCAAATAAACAAAAAGAGAAAAACAGATGAAAAACAGGTACCCGAATAAAGCATATAAGTACATGTATGTTTACAAGCAAGTGACATTTAACTGACATCGCAGTTGTAAACAGCATGAAATCGAGAGGAGAACATAAAGTGCCTTCCACAGCAATATTTGAGCAAAGTTCACTAGATAAAAAGCCCAACAGATTTCGAACGAACAGTGGCCGACAAAAGCTTGGAACAAGTGCATGACCGATAACACAAACAGAGTGCAGAAGAATTCCAGACAGAGAGCAGCGCACCGGTGTCAACGAACCTGAATGACCTTGTCGCGACCCTGAACGACCTCATTCTTATCCTTGACATGTTCTTGTAATTCATGGATACGCTGCTCGAGCTCAAGGAGTTTACCGTTCTGCTCCATCACCATCTTGTCTTTGTAAACAAGCTGAGCATACAGTTCCTTAGCCCTGGACGATTCTTCGTTTAGCTGGTCCTGGGAAATTTGGGGTTGGGGCGAATTGGTCATCTATTTTTTTAATGCAACGACTGACAACGAAAACTGGCAATGGTAACGACACAGCAACAGAAATTTTAAAAAAAGACTTTATCACAAATATCTACCAGGTTTAAGTACTAACAGGCACAACTAATTGACAAACACAGCTTACTTCATCAACATCAATCATGAGACAATTCAGACAACTGACAAAATGACCCGCCTAAATTGTTACAACATCCAGAGCCCTACATTTTCCATTTTTACTGAATATCTTTGGACATTGGACTCTCTATTACTGTACCTAATGATTAATATCCTTATGTTCCTCCAATACACCCTATCTTACACACTACTTGTTGCCAAGGTTAGAACACTATTTGTTGCCAGGGTTTGAACACTATTAACCCTCCTATGCAAACACACATTGTGTGTAAAGTTGTCCCTTCAGTCAAAATCAATCAAGTGACTGCTTTCAACGGTTAAGAGCTCCCAGCCTACATAAAGCAGGATTGACTGGCTGTGACTGTTTATGTAACTCGATACAGCTATGCTTTGACTGTAGGTGATTGATAAGCCAGCTGTGCCTACGTCTTGCCTGCTTTTGTCTGTTGACTGAATTTGACTAGTCGCAGTGCTTGCTTGAAATATGATCTGACTGTTTGTGACTAGCCTGTGTAAAAGGCATGGCAGGGGAAGAGGATTGATTTTTTTTACTGTCTGTGACCGTTGAAACAGCAGAAGGGTTAACCAAGGCACCTAGTCATATTTGCTAAAATCCGTCCTGTTTTGCCAAAGTACACAAAATTAATGTGATATTTACATACAAAATGCTCAGGTACAAATTCTACAAACACCAAGTATTGGATGGTTACGAACCAACTGCACATGAGTGTTGACCTTTGTGAGATACTCATGGATTAGTGACTTGATTTCGGCAATTTCCAGGTTGGTAAACTTTAAACATGGCACAGTTCAAGGTTACCACACTTACCTCCAGCTCCTTCACCCTCGAGTCGCTCACTGATGTACCCTGGTCACTTTCATCCTCTCCCATCCTCCCACTGCCCGACGCCCCGCCCACCCCTCCGCTGCGCATGGCCTCAATCACCGCCTCTCTCTTCTCGATGATTTTCTCCTTCTCACGCAGCTCGGCCTGCATCTTGCGCTCCCCTTCCTCCATCTCTGCCATCATCCGTCCCTTCTCAGCCAACTGCTTCTCCCGAGCGTCAATGACGAGTTGCTTTTCGTTGACAGAGCTTTCGAGTTTCTCGACGAGTGCGGAGTTCTCAGCGAGGGCTTTCTCGCGATCTTCCAGCTTCTTCTTGAGGACGATGAGCTTGCCGCGACTGGCTGGGTCATCGGCCCCTTCAGTCTGCAATTCAATTATTAAAATCCTAACACATTTTCTAAAATGTAGATGAATGTATCTCTCACTCAAGATTTGCATGGGGCCTATGCTTTAACCCTAACGTACCTGAATCCATCAAAATCCACCCCCCTGTTTCGGGAGATTTCAGCGGATTCAGGATACCTCCATATTGAACAAACTGGGGGATTTTGATGGATTCAGGATTCGAAGCCTAGCGGAACTGGCGGACTTTGATGGATTCAGGATCTCAACAGTTTAACTCTTTCGCAATGTTTGTGGTCAAGTAATTCTGCTGGCACTAACCCTGCCAAGTCTGTCAGTGTCACCTACTGTACAAACATGTACATACATGTACTGGCTGGATGGGAGCTTGTGACTGGGGCTATAGGCCTCAGCATATACACAATGGATTATGTAAATAACCTATCCTGGCAATGCAGTGCTGGGGTCGCCATGCATTGGTGTATATGGATCCTATGCAACAACACACATCACAATTTTCATGCGAGCGTGGTATCCTGAATCCGTCAAAATCCACCAGAAATTTAGGTGATGGATTTTGAAGACTCTATGGAAAAAACATGCTGTGTACTGCAGTCAAAAAGCAGTGATCATCTTTCCATTGAGTGATGATTTCAAACTAATTCTTTACTACACTAAGTAACTAATGGTCCAAAGAGCATTTAATGCACACGTGTTCATCTCTCCTAATTTTGGTCTCTAAAATAGTGTGTGCAATTGCCATTTGTCTCCAAAATGGAAACAGCCAGATGGAACACTTCCACTAAGGGATTGCCACAAGTATTTTTTTTTTCAAGTTTCAGATTTTTTTTCAGATCACTGCAAATACTGCAAAGGTTTCTATGGGACTTGACACAAAGCACAGAATTCCAGAGAAACGAGTGCACAGCACTGGTCTTTTTAAGTCCCACAATGAAAAAAACTCGGACGCAATAACAACATAACTTGGATGCAATAAAGAGTGCACAGCGCTGGTCTTTTTAAGAAGGCAGTCCCAAAGTAAAAAAAATAGACAAGACGATCACCCACACACAAAAACAAAAATCCTGCACAATAAAGATTAATGATGTGCATCGGGTTGGGTTGACCAGGCCAAACCGACCCGAAATATTAGAGACCTAAACCAAATTTGAACCAAAACTCATCTTAACTCCCTCAAACCGACCCTACCCGACCTGACAAAAAATAATACAGTAAAACCAACACGAACCCAAACCGACCCCCCCCCCAAAAAAAAAAACAACAACAGAATATCTGGCTTGGACAAAGTAATGGCTTTTTTTTGTGCCTGCCCTTACCCACGTTTTCATGACGCTGTATCATGAAACTGTTACAATATATCTATTTCACTGTCAGTCCCGATCCAACTGGAGAAATAAATACCGTGGGAACTTGATAGTGCGCACATTGGCCACACATCAATGGGCTGCAGTCACAGTGACTGTCAATAATGTTGCATCACCTGAATGTCTCAACTGTTTCGGGGTTTTTTTTCGGTTTATTTCATTTTTTTTCAGAAGATGGCTCAACCGACCCGACAAAAAATGTAAATGTAAAACCAAGCCGACCCGACCCGACTGTAAAGATGGACAAACCGACCCGACCCGACCCAAAGTCGGTTTCGGGTCGGATCGGTTTCAGTTTCGGGTCGGGTTTGCACAACATTAATAAAGATACAGTAAAATTACAGACAACAATGCACTTGTTATCTATACCACCTTGAACCAAATATCAGAGTTGCATGACTTACTTTGGCACTTGAGCTCTCCTCGTCTCCTTGTGGTTCTCCCCCTGCTTTCTTCAGTGCTCCAATTTGATTGGTCAGTGATGTGATCTTCGCTTTGGCCTGCAGTTTGAACTTGGACAACTTGGCGTTGCTTTCCTGAAGGTCAAAACAAAATTTGCGGTTGTCACTGTCAAACTTTTGCCTACTCTTGACATTCTATCGTTCAAGATAAAAGAGCAGTCCAAGTTACCTTTGTAAGAGCACTTGAGCCCCAGTAAAAGTAAATTTTGGGAAAGAGTCAACTTTAGGGTCTCTTTCTGCCCGAGCTGCAGCATTTAAGTTGATCCCAGTTCCAGTGTGGACGGGTAATCTCCAACAGGGATAAATACTGTTATTACTGGAAAAAGATTTCTGACTAAGCACAATATTTTCAAATCCTGACCCGACAAGAATAAGCAATGTTACCATTTTAAACTATGCAGATATTTGGTGAAAATGCTGGCTATTCTGACTAAATTTCCACTGTGCAAATCTGGTAAAAAGGCCCCATCACTCAAAAGCAGCTTCAACAACTCCCGACTCATTTGCTTTGATTTTGTTCACAAATGGATATTAGCCCTCCTGCTGTCTGAACAGTCATAGACAGTCAAAATAATCAATCCTCTTCCCCTGCCATGCCTTTTACACAGGCTAGTCACCAACAGTCGGATCATATTTCAAACAAGCACTGTGACTACTGACTAGTCAAATTCAATCAGCAGACAAAATCAGGCAAGTGACACACACAGCTGGCTTATCAATCACCTACAGTCAAAACACAGCTGTATCAAATTACATAAACAGTCCAAGCCAGTCAATCCTGCTTTATGTAGGCTGGGAACTCTTAACTGTTAGAAACAGTCACTTGACTGATTTTTACTGAAAGGACAACTTTGCACTGAATGTATACATCTGCATAGGAGGGTTAACGCACAAATTGTGTGCTAAGGGGCGCCATGATACCGAGACCCAATCCCAACGAGGGTTGGATATTAGTGAATGTTGGTACCTCATCCTAGTCAGTGTGAATGGAGTAAAAAATCTCCAAACTAATTTGTGTCCCACCGTTTTTTGGGGAGGGGAGGAGAAAACATTATAGAATAGTTTCACAAAGCAAAACTTCGATTCTTTGAGCACAAGACAGCAATATTTTACCAGGAGTTGTTTGTCTTTTTGGCGTATCATATCCTTCAACTGGTTCAGTAGCTTGGTTTGTTCGTTCAGCTGGTCGTGAGCGTCTGAGGAACTGGCAAAACTGGCATCTGCAGCCGAGGCAAAACTGGCGTCCCCGGATCCTGAAGCGACAGAGGTATCCTTGAATGCAGAAAAGTACAAATTAAACTTGATTGATTTCAGTTTTCAATGTAGGGGCCTATACATGATTCCAAAAAGAGAAAACTCCTAGATATTAATAATCCAAGACGCATATATTGTTCAAAATGCAATTTTCTGTATAAGGTTATAGAAACTCAAGTCCAATTTTGCTAGGATACATTGTACTTTCTCCAATATGCAGAAAACCAGTAGAAATTGTTTTTGTTTACTTCAAACTTTCAAAAGACATCCTGGTGAAGAATCTTTTGAAGGATTTTGAACAATTTAAATCGAAAAAAAAAAATACACCTAGATTGCCCTGCGAAATGTAGAAAACACCCTTCCCCCCCCCCCCCCCAAAAAACCCATTAAACGAAAGATTCATTACCCCTTCTGATGGTTCCTCATTCATGGATTTGTTGACGTTCTCGACCACAGTGTCCAACCTGTCCTGGACATTCTGCGCTATGTTGGTGAAACGCCCCCACATTGTGGCGCTGTTTATTGCTCCTTTCTATGACGACAACAATCTAAAGGGATGATATTGCAACGTATTAAACTTCACAGCCACAGCACCGAGGTCTGATATTTCATCACACACTACCTGGCGACAGTGTCATTTAACCAGCTCATGTCCGATGACGTGTATACATGTACACACAAAGGTTTTGCGGTATTCAGAATGGATAACAGATAAACACGCAACGAGCGAGGCCAGAAATATCTCGCAGAGAGCGAGGCCGGAAATATCAGGGTGTGCTACCCACCACAGATGACGGCCTGAACCCGTCTGGCATCGAGGTTCGTAAAAACAATCACGCGCCTCGGTCCGGTCACGTCAAAATAATCCCGGGGCAAACTGGTTAAAACCCAGTTTCAATAAGAGAATGAAACTCAACTTTTATATTTACTGAACTCGCCTGATTAGCTGGCTGCATGTAACTACAACAGGAATGTCATGGAAAGTGGGTTTAATTATTTTAGGGAAATTACAGGGTAGGACGAAGTAGGTTATTGTGATTTGGCTGCTAGTTCATGCTGCATGCTCGGTGCATCATCAATGGAAAAAACTTCATTGATTTGTGCAGAATCAACTGGAAAAAATAGAGTGAGAAAGCGTATGTTCTTGCTAAATACTGTTGAAATTTGAAAACTAGGGTCATAAGACTAGGTTTTACATGACAAACTATTCTTCAATTTCGGTTGCAGAATTACATTGCAACAACAGTAATTATGTAAGAACTAATGTTAAAAAGAACTACTCTATTGCGCACAGCATAGCCAAAGGGCCCATGGATCGAATTGATTTTTTAAAATGTAATGCTTGAAATGTTTGCGTTAAAGCTATAGTCCATCATTTGCAGCTATCCGAAAAGTAACTGGCATAATTATTGTTGAAAAACAAACTTGGTTGAAAGATAGTAAGGGGACTAAACTCCCTGTGAAATTATTCTTTCTGGGAAGCTGTCATTTTGAAGTAATCAACGAAAGAAGGCATTTCCAACGGTGATTCTTAAGAAGCACCGTAGGAAAATTTAAATTAGTAGTTCGTTTTGTTATTCAGCGCAGCGCGCACAAGTATTGGAACGACGCACACGCGCGCGGTTGTTATAATTCGTCGGATCAGCGCGCGACGTCGCGTATAGCTGCAATTTAAAACAATTCAAAACATGATTCAGTAACTTTTGATTTGAAATTGAGATCTTAGAATGCTGTTTTTCTCGGAATATACAGCTGAAGCTGAGCTGAAACTTCATCAAGTAAGTTGTTCAGTATCCTTCATTAGATTTTGAACACGTTTGTTGCTTCAAACGAACAAAATGCACTAATTACAAATGATGGACTATAGCTTTAAATGTTAAATTCCGATCATCAGAAAGCAATAACTTAATGGCAATAATGGGAAAATATTGAAACATTTAGGCCTACTGAAAAAAAAAACCACTTGGAATTTTTCAGTGCTGTCTCATAGGGTTTGTCACTTTGTGCATAAGTGCATAAGGATAATGTAGAGTGCAAGACAGAGCAACCAGACCAAGAAAATTGTTAGAAGTGCACAGGCAGACCACGAAAGGAGATTGATGAAAGAATTCAAGAAGAAGCCCAAAGCTTTCTATAGCTATGTAAGATCGAAGCAGAAAGTGAGAGCTGGGATATCTCAGCTTGAACGATTTCTTCAACAGTGTGCACACCAGAGAACCCGAAGCGGAGCCTCCAAGACTCCAGCCTCGTAGGACAGACATGGAAGACCTGGTACAAGCTAGCTTTACCCTAGATGATGTCATAAGGAAGCTTGCAGATCTCAAACCAGACAAGTGACCAGGAATGGACAAGATCCATCCTCAAGTCTTGAGAGAGTGCAGTATGGAAATGGCAACGCCTCTGTATCTTCTCTTTAAGAAATCGATTGCAGAAGAAACCATCCCAGAAGACTGGAGACGTGCAAAGGTTGTTCCTATCTCTAAGAAAGGATCCAAGAGCCAAGCTGGAAACTACCGCCCAATAAGCCTTACCAGTGTTCCATGCAAAGTGATGGAGTCCTTAGTTAGAGACTCAATTCTCAGCCATATCTCAAGGTATGAGCTCTTATCCAAAGACCAACACGGATTTACCTCTGGTAGGTCATGCATGACAAACCTTCTTGACACCCTGGAGGACATCACTAAAGACTTAGTAAGAGCTTGGATGAAGACTGTGGAGTGGATGTGATCTACTTGGACTATGCCAAAGCCTTTGATACAGTTCCCCACAAGAGGTTAATATCGAAACTAAGCGCATGTGGAATTGACGGGAAGGTACTAAAGTGGGTAGTGGAATTACGAAAAATAGACATCTGAAAAAGGCAGCACTTTCTGATTAGCCTATAAAGAGGATGAGTATGCTTCTTAAGCAAAAATAAATTACAAACTAAGCCTGAATGTGAAAATCAAAATTTGACAAAGTTCTACATGTTTTTGTACATGTTTCAAGTGTGGCCTTTATTTACGGAGGTAGTCCAGTAAATTGGCCACATTTATGGGGCTAAGCCTAAGACAAAAGTGTGGCGATCGTGTAGTGTACTGTAGGGCCCGATTCCTATGGAACAAAATCCACTTTAAAATTATTAGACCGACCAAACTAGTTGGTGACAACTGACATTCTCAATAAACAGGTAGGTCATATAAAGAGGGCAGGGTTTTGATTTTTTTTAGGGAAATTTGGGGGTAAAATGATGATGACAGCGCGGCGACAACATGCAACCCGCAAATAAAGATGGCGATCACCGCGCCATGTATCGTGAGCACGCACGGTGTGCTGAATCGCATCGCAAGGCACAAACCGCGCAGGAAAATCGTGATATCTACCCTCCAAAATATTTCAAAATTGCAAAACGGGTGTCCTTAGAATTGAGAAAAATATGCTTTTGATTGTAAAGGTGATTTTTGAGTAATAAAAAACATTTTTGACTCTAATTTGATCGAAACAAAACAGGGGCCCTACACTACACGATCGCCCAAAAGTACGTGTAATTCAGTGCACAGGATCGGATCGGAGCAGGACGGGTCTTTCCAAGAAATAAGACAGTACCAACTGAATGAAAACCCTTGGTACTACACTATCATTGTAAATCATATGCATGGTTAAGATGGTTCAAAACTTGTATTAAATTAACAAAATAATTTCTCCTTTTTTTCCTGTTAACGTAGCAGAAAATGCAATAATTTACCTTTCTCGACAAACATTCGTCGTGGCCATAATGCGTACGTTGGATGTATGACAATTTCGTCTGGTACCGGTACTATACTCGAGACAAGCGGAATTGGAAGTGAACGTCGGATTCAACCGAGTCCGAGAACAGACATTTCTACCCGGCGTTGAGGGCGCTTGATTAAAGGCCTGTAAATAAAGAGCAAATTTCCCTCAGATGATAACTTTACGAAAGCCCATTAGTGTCACTGCAAGTATATGTTATTACGGATTATTAATTTGTTATTACGGATTATTTAATTCGTTATTACGGATTATTAATTTGTTATTACGGATTATTTAAATCGTTATTACGGATTATTAATTCGTTATTACGGATTATTTAATTCGTTATTACGGTACGGATTATTAATTCATTATTACGGATTATTTAATTCGTTATAACGGATTATTAATTCGTTATTACGGATTATTAATTCGTTATTACGGATTATTAATTCGTTATAACGGATTATTAATTCGTTATTACGGATTATTAATTCGTACAACGGATTATTAATTCGTTATTACGGATTAAAAAAAATTTCAAGAGGGGCAAAACATATTTCTCAACATATTCTCTATTCGATTTTTAGAGGGGACAGGGACATCCCCCCCCCCAACCCATGTTGCGGCTGCCAACAGAACAAACAAAAAAAGAAAATGGATGTTAGAGGTCACTCCATTGTCTTTTGGGTGTGAATTTGATACTTGATTTGATCTTGTTCGCAAATTTGATTAAATGTAAAATTTGCCTTTGTCTGATCTAGCTAAACTTAAGACCGACCATTCTGTGATCAGGGTCGATGATGCTATGCTTTAAGACAATCTGGGGATTTGGTCCCGAAATTTTGCATTTTGATTAAACCCTATCCAGCTCTCAGTGCATTCTGATCACGTGCTCTCCGCATGTGAGTACCAGATGTAATTCGCAACAACGAATTAATAATCCGTAATAACGAATTAAATAATCCGTAATAACGAATTACTAAATATATACATAGTGGCGCTAATGGGCTTTCGTATAACGCTTCACCGAAAACCATGCGAAAACAAAGCAAACAACAAAACCAACACCTCCCCCCCCCCCATTTTGTTAAAAATAAAATAAATACGTAAATAAGTAAAAACAAAGGGTAATAGTCGGACATAAAGCGAGGCTGTCCCGATCGCAGTGGCGAAAATCTGTGCCGAGGACTGGGGGGGGGGGGGGGGGTATTCTATGTAACCATGGCGAAAGCCATCCGTGGATAACGGATGATACTCAGACTAAAATCAAAGCATTGCCAGGCCGTGGAAATTCGAAAAGCGGCGGATGGGGGGGGGGGGGAGGGGGAGGTTGCAATGCTAAAATAGCGGAGCGGGTTTTAACATGAACAAAGAAGTTCCTCTTGTTCCCCACGTTTTCTGTTTATTTTGAAAACCCAGTTTTCGCGTTTAGCTCTTAACGTCCCGTTTGAATTTAATAGCGCCACCTATTGTCCGGCATTGACAACGATGTCGGGTTTGAACATCGCCCCCATGGGAAGATGGTGTCCAGCCCCCCCCCCCCCCCCCCCCCCCCCCCATTTTTTTTATTTTACGGAGGCAGAGTGTGCGTTGAAAAACCTGAGTACTTTTCAGCACGGATGCACTGAAAATTGCCTGGGTTAATTCTACCCAAGAATGGGTGCAAACTGGAACTACCCATACTTGGGTTGTTCTATAACCAATTGTTTGGGCTAGAATTTCTGCTAAATTCAACTAAAACTTGTGGTCATTCAAGACTAAATTTAATTTGGTCTTGTATGACAACTTTTGGTTGAATTTAACATAAATTCTACAGTAACGGTATATTCGATAACACTGCCAGCTTACAAGTGACAAATAGTCAGCCGGTGTTTTGGTCAGTGAGATAGGTACTAGAAGTGCCCTATTTGGTTTGGTGAAGTCTTTTGTATATTACCCAAGTAGCGCCTGCTATATTATGTCGACCCAAATAGGCTACCCCCCAGGGCCAAGCAAATTACGTGCCTCGACATCTTATTGACGATGATAAATACCAGGCTGACTTATTATTCTCCTTCTTTTGTGCGCACAGTGGATCGAAGTCGTTAGTCCGGATTCCAAAATCGAGCTGTGGTTCTCTTTATTTGCCTTTTCAAAACAAAATGTGGCAAACACTGCTTTTCGGAGATTTAATGGCCTATATTTCCGGCCCACTATATAAGACCGCCTGAAACAGAGTAGTTTGCAAAGACCAACTCGACCAAAATACAAACGAAGTCAATTAGCAAAAGAAATTCTACAACAGCAACAGTTACATTACAAATCGTAAGCATCATTCATAAAATCAGCTCAAGTGAGCTTTGAGAGCCGGCACCGGTCCCACACCAAGTGGTAAAGCATTCTTCCCGGAACAAAAGGTCCATAGATTTCCGATAATATTGTATTTTTTTTGTCCAGCTCCAAGGTTTTGCCAAAACGAAGCTACTTCTGCTCTCAAAAACCTTGCCCGATCAATGGTCGATGTTACAACAAAACATGCAGCGAGTAATGATCGGTCCGGTTTGGGTAGTGGGAGCATTAGGAGGAGAAACAAACAAGCCCCAAGGTCGGCCAGGTAATTATAATGAATGGACCAGATGAAAAACACCATAGCTGTAAAGCCGGCCTGCCTCAGGTCGACCACGATTTGCTTGCACCGCGACGGAACCGTCTGCATCAAGCACAAAAATTATGCTCAGGTCACAAAACTGACAAATCGTGTGATTGTCGCAGAAGTTAAAATCTTTCTACTCCTGCGACTTTTTATTTTTTTGAGCGCCGGCTGATGCCGATCGTCTAATATCATCGCAGGTACACTCAGGTCTCACAAAATCGGCGACTGAGTTGTTCCGACGGTCGTAGCTTAGGGTCGGACGTAAGTTGATCCTGAAAAGTCAGTCGCCAACTGATCTGTGTCGTCGCAAGGTAGACCTGAGGCCGACAATATAATGTGATGTGGTGACTGCGTTCATAAGAAGTGGTGGCTCTTTGTACGGGTAGGGTGGGGTTTATTCGCGGGGTTGTTGGTGTAAACATGGAGCTATAATATATAGCTCCATATGGTGTAAACATTATGAGGAATACAACAACCTATAAGGTAACATTCGTACGTGAGATCGCCAAACCATTTTTTGGGGGGTCACAAGAATTCCAGTCTGACACTAAACGAAGAAAATGTTGAAAAGTTCCAGTATAAATGTTGAAAAGTCCTTTTTACAAATTACATATCTGACGCGACTAGTAGCTTATTTTCCAGCAGCGATCGATATGACTTTATCGTCATCGACTGACTGGGGCCATTTTTATGCCTACGAGCTATAGTGACAAATTGACAATACATTGTAGGCCTACTAGGAAATCATGTCACACATATAAATAAGAGCACATTATGTTTGAAACAAAGATTTTGAAAAGAAAATTGTATGAAATGTTTCATGACTGTCTATGTTGTGTGCCCGTTTGTCAGTACATGCAGTGGATGATCTACCGTGGCTTTCAGGAAACGGGGGGGGGGGGGGGGGGGGGGGGGGGGGGGGTGAGTGAAGGCGTGGAGAGATCAGGGGCGCATGCCTGCCCTCCCAGAAAATGTTGCTGCTGTCTCCGGCATTCTGGATTAGTGGAAAATAACTACTATTTGTAATTAACTTTATTTCATTGATTTCATTTTATTCGCAAGTTCCAAAACTGAATGAAGATTTGACCTCGCTTTCAATTCAGTAGTTGAGGTAGTCTGTATGGTACGGTGTGACCTTGAGCCTAGAAATATGTAAAGGTCACATAAATATGTAAATATGGAAATATGTAGATATAAATATGAATTAATGGGGTTATGAAATTCCGGGCACAGTTTGACCTAATGAATGGATGGGATGAATAGGAATAGGTGTGGGTATAAGGAACCGGGTACAGTTTGACCAATTCTATGGGAAAGATTGCATAAGGTATGGAAAAAAATATATACATATTTTTATGGTACATTTGGATCTTAGCCCGAATATGAGTTTCATACGTTAGTCCCTGTGAACGACCAGCTGGTCGGATCTTTAATCCCCCAACAATAGACGGGAGAGGGCGCGTGCCACGTCAGCGCACTAGTATTGTTACGAAGTTAATCCGATCGATACAAAAAGTAATTGGATTTCCGAATGCTCGACAGCAGAAAGCAGCGATAGATGGCAAAAATGAATGTTGCGTTGATCAGACTGAAACGAGTACGATTGTCTATTTGAAGAATTATTTTAAAGTCATTTTTATTGGGTTTATGGGTATCGGCACGTTGCGTTTTCCAAGTTATAAACAAACACTCACCGCAGCATACTTGCAGGGTACAGCCTGTGTCGGCCATGGGGGTATATGATAAATCCACGATCCATAATCCATGCGTCTGTACGGAGACCGGTGGTCGATCACCCCTCGATGATCGCACCGATCCTGGAGCAAATAAATAACTCCGTCCGTGCGCCTATATTCCTCTTGTTAATCGATACAATACCAATGGCACTCTTCTACACTGCCACCAGAATCATCCAAGTAATAATATATGTCTGTGCGCGGTGATCGTAGAAAAGGGAAGGTTTTGGCATCAGCCAGAGCAAATGCTAGTATACATGCACACTACTGTATACACGCCGTCCGATCAGATAGCGCTCAAGTTTTCTTAATCCGTGACGGCTAAATTATCGATTAGGCTCTATAGTCAGCAGAGGCGCGTACAATAAGGAACGGATTCAGTGGTTTAAAGCCATAACAAAACGTGCGGGCATGTGGTTTTTAAAGGGAACTACGGCCTGGAAAGTACCCGATTGAGTGTATCGGAATAACACAATCATCATTGTGCATTTTGTAATATTTCGTACTAGAACGACCCCAAAACCAAGCAAAAGCCTATCCATAGTTAAAAATTCAGTCGTAACGTGGTAAAAATGGTGCCCCTTTAACGCTGTCTGTATAGGAATGCACCGAACCCTAGTTGTACCTCCGTGCCGGATTTGTTTACAAAATCGAGGATGACTGGGTTTTATCTACGACCATTTTACGGGGGTTATTTAGAGGGCGTGTTCAAGCAATAATTTTATGACTGAGAGTAAGCTTTT